TTGCACCCAAAACGGCTGAGTGTACTATAGCCTAGCAGCGTTAGTCTGAGAGTCGAAGGAACGAGCTTTAGAGCTGTTATTGCAAATGTAGATTGTAAGTTAGTAACTGCTGACAGTAACTGACTCAGATCAGTCTGGTCTAAAGGTCCCGTCTCGCTGTCGATTGTCAGGTCAAAAGCGAGTTTCACGGCTGCTGTCTGGAGCTGCACTGCGAGCTTTGCCCATATCCACCTCTCCAGATACGTGAACATGATGGGGATAGCCAGTTCCAACCCTAGCAAGAGTAGAATCCTATCCCACTCGAAGGTGCCTATGCCAATGTTAGCTGTAGCGTACGAGATTTCGGGTCAAATTACCATCATATATGTTTGTGTGTAACAGTATCCTAGTTTGGTTCACCGCGTAAGCTGACAGAATAGGCTTCGAGAGGATGCAAAAGGATAGAAACAGCCACGTAGACGTAGAGCTAGGTCCATCATGATCCCAGAGCATCTTGAATGGAATCTAGTAATTTTAGCCTCCCTCAATACATTGGTTTCTGCTTTCATACCCTTTTATGTCCACTTAAAACCTGGAACATTCGATCGAATACTCTGCCAGCCCATAATCCGGTTGATGTCAAATTAAGAGTGAATACTCTGTAATGGAGCTTCCACAACACGAGTATTGTGATTAAGATCGGTACAGTATAGTGGATCAGTGGCGATGTAGCAATCCAAGTGGTCCCAAGGGTAAGGTGTAGCTAAACGTAGTCAGTAAGCCCGCAGACCAATAGCGGAGGGCAGCAATACCATTTTGAGGTGTGGAAAGTCCATATTAGGTGTGGTTTATCGAAGAACGATTCTGGTAGTGTTAACGTATAATTCACACGAAATTTTTGGGTGGTTGTTCTTGGGCAACTAGGGGGACGGAAGCCAGGCTATATACACTGGCTCCTCCCTGACTTACGGTTTATTAAATCAATCATTACTAAATTTGCGGCGCTTATTGAATCATCTCCTGGCCATTAATCTGCATTTGTATTGTATTTGCTAAGTATCAAACTTTCGATCTTCGCAGCATGAACTGTTTGCATTATATTCTACTAACCAGAAAGTCCTAACATCTTACGCAAGATACATGAAGGTCCGTTCGCCCGTCAATAACCCAAACATTGCTCTAGGATATTTAAAGATATCGAACGAACTTTTCGTTCTTTCTCACTCTCTACCCCTATGTCGGTAAGACACCACCACAACACAATCTTTCCATTTGACTTTGCTCTTATGAGCTTGAAGCACTGGACAATTGGTTAGCTCAAATAATCCTTACAGATTATGTTCCAGTACTTACAGGGCTGACGGATAGTGCGTTACGAAGACTTTGCTCAAGCATAGGCTTCTTTGATTTTATTGTATATTCCCGAAACCAAGCGTGTAGCTCAGAGAATCTTAGTTTTCTTTCAGGCGCATAGAGGAGACGTTTGCAGATAAGTTCAGGATACGTGCCGTAGAAGCAAGACCCCTCTTCAGGTTTTGGGATGTTATTGCATCTGTTCATAAAGCTTGGGGTGCCTGAAGGCTGTCCCGGCATAACGTCTTCATCCAAAGGACCGCCGCTCGAATTATTGAGATAATTTGCTGGAGAAGATTCGGTACCTTCACAGTCCTTGTTTCTAACCTCCGCGTGGTCGACCCGCCAGCCACAGAGCTGCAACTGCGATACCTTGACAGAAAGCTGCCTGGTGTGATCAAAATTGATGGCATTATCCTCTTGACCCGCAAGCAGGAATGGTCTGCGTGAGCTCGCATGGGCATGAAGAGCATGAATCACATTTTCGATGAACCAGACAAATGATTTTAGACTGTGTTGCAGGGCGATAAGTAGTTGCATCAGACCTCCATTACTTATAGCTTTTGCTTGGCTCTGTATCATGTCACATCTTCCACAGGCCGAGAACAGTAGCTCTGCGTGCCGCACAGTGAACGGTTCCAAAGCCAACGACCACCTGTCCTTAAGGCTTGCAAGTATATTTGCGACGTCACTGAAGATCTCGACTATCATCCCATAGTTAGCAATATGCATGGAATCTATCATCACGCTGGTTCCCTTCATGGGGGCGAGAAGGTCCTCCAGTACAAATGCTGTATAGAGCCCATATCCTAAGATCTGCTGCAGGGCCTCTTCGTGGCCTTCTCCATTACTCCTACTTTGGCGATAGGCGCATAGAAAATTGGGCGCGCGGTTTAAAGTCGGCACAGGCATAATGCTGAAACAGGTCTTTGCGAGATGGATTGATGCCGGGGAAAAGCCGGAACAGGGGATTTCAACAATTGTCCATGCTAGCCAGCCTAGAATCGCCGCTATCAGAACGCCTGGCATGGAGGTTTCCCTTCTAGAAATAGCGTGGTGGACGGTGAGTCTGGTGTTGATGGAATCTTGGACATATAAACTGCAATGTTGGTCCGGGCACAAAAGGAAGAGACGGATGATAATCCCGACTAAAAGCCCGGTTTGGTCTTTGCCCATCAGTAGGCCATGTAGCTCCAAATGTAGATCCGGAGAAAGGTCCTGATGTTGTATTGGATTGGAGGATAGGTACCCTGAAAGAAACTTTTTCCATTCTGGGCTGATATAAAGCTGTTCAAGGAAATCACTGTTCCATGTTAGCCTTCAGAATAGTCCAAACCAAAAGAAAACAAACGAACAGAGCAAAACTTACCTCCCAGTCCAATCCATTGTAAATAGCTTGTAAAGTAACTCAATCAAGAAGTTTGGTCGCTTCTGGTGTTGTAAAAGCAAAGTAAAGAGCTCGATAAAAGAGATGAATCGGCAATATAATGCGAGATATTATGAGAGCCTATTTACAGTGACACTCCTCTGAATCTCCTACCTATGATACAATATAGCTTTTAAGTCAAATGTGAACCTTTGGCTTACTTCTGGTTTAATGAGTCTAGAGCTTGCAGGGATATAAACGAGTCTCAGGAATCGATGTTTTCCGAATTTGGTTCAACTGCAGGTATCGTCGGTCCCACAAAGAGACAGATCGTGTAAAAAAGCCCAGGCTGATCACTAGACTAACATCGTAGGTTACATCGCGCAGGTCACTAAGGGACGACAAGGAATGATCATACGTGGCCATCGAGATGAAAGGTGATTTGTCTCTAACCCAGTACCGTGCAATTTCCGATGCATTTAGCTTGATTATGAAACCGGAGACAGCGCGGCAACCTATATGGTCATGTAAGAATATTTCACAATTTATGAGGTATATGAAAGACTTGGATACTACCCCACGCTCCTGGCCACGGGCTGAAAATTGGCATTCGGTGGATGACCACATAGCTGAAAAGTGATAATGTGAGACATAATCAGAAAGCGAGTTATGGTCAAGAGCTCTGCCTGACGCCCTCCTTGATCCGGCAAAAATCTGCGTTGTGACCCCTTAAAGCACGCTTGTGTTTTTGGGTATTTACCCATATGTCTAAAAACCCAATCATATGGCCCGGGGAAACCGGCACATTTCACACCTGCTGTTAGTTTAGCTAGCGACCCACCAAAGTCTGTACTAGTCACAGCCCATTAAAACCAGTAAACAAACAAGGTTACTCCGAGAGTCCACCTTGGTCGTGGCCATCTCTCTGTTTATGTATCTCGAAAGGTCCTTCACTTGAAGCGAATTGGAGGCTCGAGGCAATTGGTATTGGCTATAGACAGACTAGCTAGCTTTATCCTGCAGCTTTTGGTTTTACCGGGCGTCTTGTTCTGCCTTGAGACCATCGCAATCCACATGCGTTGCAGTAGTTTTTTCCCCCGCTGGGACCCTTCCTCCACAAAGGGGTCTTTCGGGTCTTGCAGGAAGCGCATCCGTCCTTAGGCCCATGCTGCTTTATATTTAATTTTGTAGAAGACAAACGGGAGGAAGATGAAGACTCGGTACTCTGGCCTACAGGAACTACCGTCGTATTTTCTCCAAAGTCGGGGCCTAACAAAAATCACATTATCAATCAAGGACTGAGAGTTTGAGACGTGAATACGCACTTGCTTGAGGATGTTCAAATCTGATTCTCCATGCATCGAGGATGGTATATATTATCCCGCATTCTTTATCATCAAACGATGTGCGAATCTGATCAACAGATTCTTTCAATATGTCGAAGTGAACATGATTGAGCATCGACTTTAGAGCCGCCTCGTAGTCTGTAAAATACTGAGATTATTCTTCCCTTGACTGTGGTAGTCGTGGTCCTTACCGAGTCTTGTAACCAGTCTAGTCTTTTCTATCTGTAATGCCAAATCACCAGCGCAACGGTCGATGAGATACCTGGTAAGTACCTGGCAGGTATTTTCGGGCAGAAGGATAAATAATAACTTGCGATAGAGCTCAGTGTGGTATGTCCGGTTGAATGACGGGCGATGTTTTTTCGGAAACTCACAACCCTGAATCGGGTCATTCCAAATAGTTTGCTTCGCTCTCACATTTTTTGTGGCGCTCGGTGTGAGTAGAAAATGCTGATCTCGGGCTTTCTTAACCTGATGTGCTTGGATACTTGATATCTAAATGTATGTAAGTTGCTAGGTTATGTCGACATCCACATTACTTACAATAGACCCGTAGTTGCTAGCCTGTTCACAACAGCAACAGTTCAATACGGGATAGAGGTCATTATTGAGTGTCTTTCCCTGGAAAATTTTCGGTTGAAGATTGTTGTAGCAAATAGCACACAAGAACTGAGGAGTATAATTTCGAAACACGCACTCTCTGAGTGGATCGGTTGCTAAAATCTGGGAATTAACATCTCCTTGGATCTGGCCACATTCGCCGTTCCTTGTACCATACCTGTCAGGTCCATACCGTCCATGTAGTTCAAAATCGTCCTGATTGTTAGGATTCAGAACTGCTGCTATTCCTTGAAAAAATTCCAAGATTGTCTTTAGGAAAATTGACGGTATAACGTGGGCTAAATAGAGTTCTACAATTACATACTATACCACAAATGAAATAGAATACAGACCGGGGACAAATTTATCAGAGCGCGTTGGTAGACATACTAAAGACACTAAATGGGGCCGACGCTTATCCAATGTAACGCGGAACAAGGGACGACGGATTGGAGATGCTCGGACCTTGGCCGCAAAAGAGTGGATTAATTATACTGTTATCTCACGAACAGCAGTTCTGCTGACTGAGATCGTACATTCAAATACCAATATCCGTAACAGAATGAGCTACAGCTGACTTTTGCCCCGAGACAACCCGACTGTGATACATTAGCTTGGCATTTCTCCAACCATACAGCATATACTCACATCTGAAGTGACCCGGCAACCCCTTTTCTCAAGGCTTGACGCGCTGCAGCACAACCGACTAAAACCTCCTCTGAGCGCTTCCCAAGGTTTTTGACCATCAAATCTAGGCTATAGGCCTCAAATCCCTCTGCCCATGCCGCGATCACTTTCCTTGCTGGACTCTCAGAGTCGTTGAGATAGAGTCGTAAATCGTATACGTACTCTACTACCCTAACAAAACCCCGGCGTTCCATCTCTTTCTTATAGCAAAGCGGGAGGCTAAGTGAGCGACAATCTTCCCTATAGGCATTCTCCATTTCTCTGTGGAAAATGTGGAAATCACTACTGCCTGTAGGATCCTGGAGTTGAACAGTGCTGTCCCATATTTCTAACACACCATTAGGTGAGCAGCATCTAACAGTTTGGTTAGCTCACGAATTAAATTTACTAGGTTAGCTGCACCTGTAGGCTCCATCCAAGACACTAGCCAGGAGCCGAGGATTGCCTCCGAGTCCACCGACATGAACGAGGTCGACTTGTGAGAAGTGGGTGCACCAGTCCTGCTGTGTAATATCATCCAGTATAAACTCACAGTTTGGCGGTACCCTAGATTCTGTTCATTCAATTTGTCCTAGTAATTGAACATAGTACATACCACTCGTCCTGCATATGAACCAAATCGATTCCGGATACCTACACTGTTAGCACCCTACCACAAAAGGGGCGCAGAAAAGAATGACTTACCACTGACCATGGGTTCCTATCAGCTAAATTGTAAAATCAGCAGTTTACTAGAATTTAAGATGTTTCAGTAGATACATACCAAACTCAATAGCCCAGCGGCCAGTACCAGTTCGAATATCGAGCACTTTTTGAGGCCTACTGACAAGGGTCGGGCTTAACCGCCCCTTGAACAATTCATGACACAACCAAAACCATCGGTCTCCTAAGATGATTCACCATTCAGACCTAGATCATTGAAAGGGCTGCTCACCTTGTCGTTCTTGCTCTGTCTTTCAATTAAGAGGTCAGTTAATCTTCACACAATAACAGATATACGTACTATATCTACAGGCCAGGGGTGATGTGATCTAAAAGCAGTCGGGTAAAAGCGCCCACATAGATAATCAGTTTCGCAGAAAAAGGTATCCAAGGGTCCAAAGCTTCTGTTTATGGGTAAGATAACAGTAAAACAGAGAATGATAGCCGTGATATACTCAGCATCTTCGGCTATTGGATAGGGATCCATCATGTCCCGATTTTTAGTCTTTGAAAAACATAAATTCGATCGGGAACCTCTTTATAACTATTTTTTGGGCGTTGCTTCCAAATGCTATTACTCTCTGGCCCCAATTGACCCGCACTCTTGAGTCTTACGCAGCCCTAATGTTATTAAAATGGCAATACTGAAACGGGTAATGGCATTATATCTTATATCATTCTCTATTACCAGTATTCAAGCCCTGTCAATTCCTGGCCGCTTCAGGAATCGTAAGAACGGTTTGAGCTCTACAGCCCAGTTAGTCACTGATTGAAAGCTTGGTGCGGGTAATTACCTATGGATTCTGCTGTTGGAGCTCCCGGTAAAGGTTCTCCAGGTCCTCATTCATTTTGCGCGCCTTCACTGTACGATCTCTGAGTTCTTCAGAGAGCTTTAGTAATGTTAGAAGTCAACTCTTTACCGAAATTAGCTGGCATAAGCATACAGTCAGCCCAAGAACCTTCTTCCTTCTGCAAAAGATACAGGTGAGTTGTTCCTGAAATTGGATAATAGAGTAATTGTGGCCTTTGAAGATTATCAGGTGTAAGTCGATATAACAGTCATTACACAAAAAGGATTCAAAGAGCACTGCAGAGGGAGTATCCATGACCACAGTAGGCTAATTTTTGGGAAATAAGGCACGATGAATCTCTAATTTCCGGCTGTACCACAACGGTGATAGTATGTTTAAGTGCAAAAGAAAAATGTTGTGTTTTAGCGAAGGTGTGAGGACACATTTAAGGATTAACAGGTTCGAGAGGAACAGACTATGGGTGCCCAGACCTGAATACGGTTCCACACAACGTAACAAACAAACTTGATGCATGTGCCGTTGGCTCCAAAAGCGGATAGTTAGTTATTTGGGTACCTACCCAAATAACCAGAGAACCAATCAAGAGTACGGGGAAGCGGGATATATGACCCACAATGCCTCCGCACCAAATCTCTCATCTTAGTTAACCTTGTAAGGAAAGGAGAGAAGAGGGTAAGGAGGATGTGATATGGAAATACGAAGAAGGAAGCATCTTTATAATGAACCATTCTAGTTTTAAGGGCATCTTTAATGTCGATATCTCTCAATAAAGATAACTGCTACTCTGGAACATTGTAGTTTATGGCTAAGTGAATTGTTTGATACAGCAAGACAAATATACCCTCTTAATCCATTACATACAATTCAATATCGTACATATTGTACATTGCAGTGGGACACCACCCTTATACACTATGGTCTGACTTTCCCTTCTTTTCCTCATATATCATGTTATTGGAGCCTGATAGGATATCATTTCAGATCCTCTGGCACTGTGTTTGTTGAACGTTTCGTTTGGGCGCTGGTGGTGGTGCGCCTGGCTTTTTGACGCCAGTGGTGTCATATGCACCGCGTCCCATTTCGAATGTGGATAGAAGGGACAGAAGGTCAATGGTCGATCTAAAGGGGTCAATATTGGGCGGTCAATTATTCGGTGCTGCAAGGAAGCTGCACTTACTACGTGTTCAAGTGAAGAGATATATTGGGGAGGACTTGTGGGTATAGATGTCTTGTCGTTCGTTTCTGTACCTTCGCCCAGCACGTACTATAGCATTATTTATAAATATTAAATACCGGGGTTCAATACAGAGCCAAGGTAGTAGTACAGCGAATTCCCTAACCACATCCGGTAACAATAGGGGGCGGGGCATTCTTAGCGATAATATTACCGGCCGTAGCTGTGGGCTCCCTGCTTTTCCTGAATTGGACAATTCCTATTCACCAGATATGTGATGGCTGCATGCGAACCCCTGGAGAAGCTATCCCGTATTAGATCTCATGGGAAGCCATTCAATTGGTCAACCAATGTAAAGTAGGATTTTGTTTTTGTTGACTCGGTCTCATAGACGTCTTATCATGTTGCTTACGGTATATAATGGTCTATGAACCCTTTAGCCAGAGTCTTCTGTGATATCCTGGAGGATGAAGAGTATAGTGTTTAGCTTATCATCAGGATTCTCAAATATAAGACACGAATTGTGACGACCTATGAGATTATATATGACATCGAAAATAACCTTGACTTCATGAATACAAAGACATGTTACATTTTATGTAGAATAGACTATGCAAACAGTCTTGTCCAATGTAAACGAAAGCAAAATAACACAATCAAGGATGTCCCATACCCTCCTGACAACTAGAATCAAGATAATCACATATTCACACTGATTCTCTGCTGGATTCTGAATAAAATTGCAGCCGTCTGCTGTCGACCCGTTACTATCGTGTAAGTTTACTGGAATACGGCTAGATCGGAACATACCTGATTCCATAACCCCACTGGGATTATGTTATCTTGTTGGATTTTTACAGACAGAGCAGAATTCTTGCTTGCAAGGGAATTGCGCCTCATAGAAACCCTTCACTTCCACTTTCGTGCAATCACTAACAGTACATCGAATAAGACGGGGGCTGGGTTCCTGGTAGCCGCAACTGAATTTACAACGACTGTATAAACACATCCTGCAGAGCGGTCATATTAGCAAAATTAACGAAAAATATGTGGACTTCTCACGTCATTCGATAGTGCTAAGCAAAATCCTCCCGCAACAATCAGGTTAGGCGACAAAGTTATTCTGACAATTGAAGGTTTGACAAGACGTGATAGTGAATAGATGATAGCAAGTTGACAGAGGGGGAAAAGTAGTCGGACTATATACTGATTGACATCTAAGACAAGTAGGATCTAAGCCCATTCAGCTTCGTTTTCCCTTCGGAGTCTGACGAGGATCTAGCGCCCAGGGGCCAGAAGCGTCGCTTCAGTCGAGTCGCCTTATCTCCGGTCCCTATCTGTGCAACGATCGGCGCTCCAGACAATCTTCGGATATGCCCTGAGCGATCAAAACCAATATCATCAGGCGCAGTTTTGTACTCAGCGGTGTCTAGTTGGCCTACAACAGGGGGGATTAGTAGACGAGTTCTGCCCGAACGTAACACTTCACCGGAAGGGGGGAAACGGCAATCGGCACCTCATCAACGCCGAGACCTTGGTTCAACAGATTAAACGGCAGCTGAATGAGAATATCGATGATTGTACACCCATGGGAGGCTGTGGGGCATCTGGATAATAGGGATGGTCTTCTGATGGGACAGGAATCTTGGATTTTCAGATATGGAAACGTAGGAAGTACCGTGCTAGACTTTACGGAGACATTTCGAAGGTATATCATAGAACCGTGGCTTTTATGAAGGGTTGCTTATAGTATTCATTACCGCAATTATCAATACACAAGTGTAGAAGTCTGATCCACTTAACCGGCATGTTCTTGCAAATGCAATAGTTGCTTTCGTAAGTCATCCAAGCACGCGCCAAATGTTACAGAGGCACTTGTTGCTCCATCCCAACTGAGTTTGCCATAGAGCATAGATGTGCCCAGCTCTTCCTTGATTTCGCCTAACACATCGTCGGCACTTTGTATGGCAATATCAAACGTGTATTGGAAAGAATCCAAATTTCCATATTGCAAATGCCCCAACAGCATAAAAAACAGTCCCAAAAGTGAATATAGCTGGTATGTTTGTCCAAACTGGATAGGATCGAGCTTCTGGCTTAACCATTCTCCTATTAAAGTTGGGATTGTTTCGTGATAGCTGAGCAGTATGGTCTGTAGAGCCGACCGACTACTGTCAAAGCATGCCCGGCAGACTCTGCGGATCTCTTTTAGCAAGGAATTCAGGTCCTGCAAGAAGAATGTTGCTTGGACTTGTCGTGGGAGCACTAAACCACAGGCGACCTCGTGGCTCGCGCCGGAAAGTCGTCTTTCTCCGTAGTTGCAGATATGTTCAGTGGCCGTACAGACGGGAGCGAACGTGTCCGGTATATCCAACCTTGCTATGCACAATTTGGTGAACCCGATAGAATCTTTCGAGGCACAATTTTCCTGCCTTACAGCATGTAGGGCAAGCTTCACTAAGACTCCCATCACAGAAAATTCGGAAATATCTGCACCCCTAACTGTGTGATGCAGGTCCTCCATTACGCGGTAGGCGTTCTGGAAATTCATCGTGGAAACAATTACCTGCGTCGATATTGCAAGTCGTATCCCAACACCGGCGAGGAATATGGATGGATCGGTATTTTCAAGAAATGTCCTGGACACTTGCCGATTGAGTACTCGAAAGGAATGCTGGTTTATGTGATAGCCTGCCCTCCCAGAAAATCGACAAGACAAAAGGTCAGCTATTTCAGGCGCTAGGCCTGGGATGGCTTTGATAAGGTTTCTGAAAGTTTGTCAGTAAACTGCTATTATGCAGCTACTTGTGGTGAACCTACTGTATATTCTCACAAATCGAATTCTCCATTTAGAAAAAGAATATTCGATTTTAAGACTTGAATTGGGAGGCCTAGCTGAGAAAAGATCGAGGAACCGAATACTTACTATACAGCGTAGTTGTATGCATGTATCAGGCGGCGATTCAGACGTATAATGATATACTTTATATAGATACTGTGATGTTACTTGAGATAATTTCTCATTAGCTGAGCGTGGTCCATACACTCGTCTAGACTTCGTTCCTATACCTGATTCAAGTAACTCCGCAGGCTGGTTAGTCTCACGCAGCAGAATCAGCCATGATACATCCAAAGGCTCATCCTAATCAAACTAGAGACATACAAAGTGTTCTAGACCAGTACTAGGCTGATGCTGCGAGAGTATTATCTTACTGGACCGCTGGTGCAGAGTCAAATTATGCCTCATCATGTACGTTCCCCAACGCAGCAGGCTGTAGCAATCTCCGTCTCTTTTCTGTGAAATCTCTATTGCAACAAGACTACGAAGAAGTATGATAGAAGGATCCCGTTCCTTCAGCTGGGTACCACGCCAGCTATTTGGGCTGGGCTTTGCTGATCAATGGTTGCACGTCTTTGGTTGAGTATTATGGCATTATGCCCTGACTAAGATTGCTTCCTTGTCATTTCTAAGCACTCTGGTCATCTCTCATGACTACATGTACCACAACAGACGCTTCCACAAATCACTCCAGTCTCCTTCTCACATACACAACAAGGTCCTCTAAGAAGCATACGAGGTTTCCTTCCTACCCAACTATTTTTCGAGACATCTCTGGCCCCCCGATACGTTTTAGACTGTGACATCTTGTCGAAACCTCCTGCCGTTCACAAGTTCATACTATAGACCATTAGATAACGTCCCCTAGGTAACAAGCATTTCCATACCACTTTTTATGTGAGGTTGTTCTTCAAGAGGGCCTCCCTTTATAGAGTGATTCAAAATTTTCTTTTCCCAGTTAATCAATGCTCGGGAAGGTGTGTAAAGCAAACTTTACTCGACATATTTATGGGGAGGATATTTAGCTGCTTCGAGGTCAGGAAAGTACCTTTTCTTGAAAAAACGACGCAAGAGAGAGAAGAGGAAAAGACCGAATAGCACCAGCACGGGCAATAAGAATGTAAAAATGAAAATGTTCATCGTTGATACTATGTACATACCTTGTGACGGGACGTTTTAGGTTAGATATTCCCCTGAGGATCACTCCTTAAGTTTTGGACAGCACCCTTGAACGACGTTTGCGGTTGAGGACCCATCTTAGCCATCCAAGCCATACTGACTCTCGCCGCTCAGGCTCCATCGGAAGAGGGGGCGTATGACTGAATGATAGTAGAGCATCTGGCTCGCTTTCGAATCGGGTCAGAGCCTCAGGTCCGCCAGGCAAAGATTGCACCTCTTGATAACTGAGACTTTTGCTAGTAGTGCCAGCCAGAGAAATGCACAGAACGGTTATCGTTGCCTGCCGTAGCTGAGAGCGTTGTCCGTCGTAACGAGGTTCTACGCCCATAACACGGTGGACCTCCTGCAAATCAGTTTGCGTTGCATAAAGAAGATAAATATGCTCACCTCGAAAGGCGCTGGACAGGAAGCTGGATCCCCGTGTAAAGTTGATATTTCTGTAGCAGCTGGTTCCTGGGCCTGATCCCATGGCGGAGAGAGAAATCCGGTCTTTGGCGGCTCTATGTCGGTATGGTCTCGATTCGACTGTATGTAGAAGCCAGGATTCGACCTATGCGGAAACGCATCTTGGCTAGGAAAGCATCGCCATGGTATAGTTTGCGCAGAAGAGGCAGTACTTGGCTCTTGTAATCTTAAACAACCGAAATAAAATCTGATGTACGCAAAGAAATGTGACATATTTTGAGGAAACAATGAAGAAAGTAGATCACGAGAAAAATGGAAGAAGATGGCTAACAAAGAGAAATCTCTGCTAAATCAAATATCGGTTTATACTTACAACCTTTTTAAGTCCACTAATCTGATCTCCCTAGCCTCCCCTTTTCTTCGTAACCCCTGCGCGTAACTTAAGGTGATTCCAATCGGGACCTAGGGAATACCCGTATATCCTGGCTACTGCTGATTATTATCCTGTAAGCTTGCGTAAGCGTGGCTGAATGAAACATACCAGATCAAAAGACTACAGCAGATTTACTGATATCTTGTTTTGAAGTTTACATACAGGGCACCTCGACCAGTTGCAAGTACCTTCATATGACTTGGTTATCAACCCGGGGCAGTGATGAAAGTTACATGGAAAAATTTGCACATCGGGGTCCTGATAGCGGCACTTGTATTCAGTGTAAACTTGGTAACACATCTTTTCAAGGGAAACTTGTCAGCAGAAGCAGCGAATGATATTTAGGCTTACTCACGTCTGTCAATAATAGGAAGCAAGAATCTCAAAGGCAACCAGGTTGGATGAGAGTGTGTAGTCTTCTGATTTGAAGATTGACAAAGAGGTAGTTATTGGTAAGATATGAAAAGGCTAAGAAAATTTTAGTCGATAGAAAGAAAGATATGTGAATATATACTGGCTAATATGTGCGCTACGTGAAATCCAAGCTTGTTCAGCTTCGGCTTCATTACTGTTGATTCTAGACTTCAATGGACGGATTCGTACCCTCAATAAGCCTATTTTTCTTTTTATACACATATGCTGACCACACCCAAATTCACCTAGGACCGTCACCATAAAACGCCGTGTTAAGGAGACCTATAAACAGGTTAGCATAGTTACAACCTGTTGAGTTACCCCTACTACGAACGCCAGTTCTCATGCCGATCGTAGTTTTCCAACGCTTGATCTATTGTTGGAAAGTTTTTGGTAACGCTGGAGGCGCAGGCACCTGCTCGTTCCGAAGATCCGACTATAGGAGGTTAATGAAAGGTATTGTAACTGGACTATAGGAAACAAACCTACCTAGCACATTATTGACTCTGATCTCTCGTGAGGAAGTTGGTATGGTTGAAACAGGGGTTTCGATGATAATCACGGTAACCTTTGAGACGTGCATAGTGACTTTATGCAGAAATCTAACAAAGATGAAGGATTGCCCTGTTCCAACTTGCGGTGAGACTTTGGCAAGGCTATAATATTAATAGAATTGGTGAGATGGCTTCGCTTATCTCGGCAGTTGAACAAATAGGGGAATCTGAGACTCAGCTGTATCTAGTTTCGACTTTATTAGGTCAAAGATGATGATCTTCTCAACATGAAGTTGTGTTAATTTGACGGCATGCTGATCATTTTCTTCGAGTCGCTGTGCTGTTATGGACCCAGTGTGGCCACTTGGACTCGTCGACAATCCAGGTAGATCAGCTGGTATGTGGGTGGTTCACGCTCAGCCGGTCCGGGCCTTGGGGTAGATGCGGGGAACAGAAAGCGAATCCAAAAATAAGTAGTCTTGGCTTTGGCCAAATGGCCAAAGCCAAGACTTTAAAAAAATGGTTCGAGACTAAAGCGCGGGCCAAAGCGCAGGCCCACGGACCGCACTACGTTGCGGTGTCACCAGGAGAAGGTTGTCCTTTCTTTCATCCAACCCGTTTTTTGCTCAACAACTATCGCAACATGTCACAAGAAGACATAAGGCGAGCCGTGCAACTTCTCGTGCAGGCACCTGACGATGCTCTTTTCGCTGTGAGAGCCGAACTCCTAGCCGCTTTTATCGGATTAAAGAAACGTCTCCGATTATCTTCGGATCGATGTATCGAGATACTCGACTCTCTCTCGGCTAAGACGGATGAAATCAAGGAAAAGCAGGCCGACGTGGCTAGAGTTATTGGCGAAGTATCATCAAGACAAGCAGATGTCCGCCTTCAGCATATTTACGCAGAACAACCTGGAGGGAAAGGGTTTGAGTGCCGTGCTCGAGCGATATTTGCATACCGTTCTTTAGGATTCGAGTTTGAAGAATACACGATAAGGCAACGCGGTACATCCCGAGTTACAGAACTTGCTTCAGACATTCGAAAGGCCGATGATAGGAGTTCCGGACACGTCCAGGAGTTTCTCAGGGAAAAGGGACTAGAAAATGACGGGCCCAGTAAAAAGGCAGTTTGCTTTGCCATTAAAATACTGGTTCTTGAGAAAACCTTTGGGAACTGCGGTATCTCGTGGTTGGTGTCATTCATATTTTCCAAGATTCGAAACTTGCCTTACCTTTCTCTCCCTGATATCTGTCATCTGCTCTCACAACGTGACGGCGACTACTCAAATCTTGGGGAATTGGCCTCATCGTTTTCAAATCTTATTCGGGCCAGTCAGCAGCAGTATGATGGTGAGTTTCTCTAGGCACTTGAAATTACAACGCTCATATGTCGTTTGGTGCAGCATTTGTTAATAGTCCAGACGGGATTAGTCATGATTCCGATCAGGACCGATCGGAGTGCTTGACGGAGGATCAGCCGATAAGCGATTTACCAGCCGAAACGGATGGGCTGGAGGCATCTATTGAGCAAAACCAAGCTTCTACGGTTGATCTTTTGGCCTCCTCGTCACAAAGTGACATATCCGTTCGAAGCTCGAGGTCGTCACGGAGCTCAAACACCACGCCCACACCTGAGTGCTCGAATTCGGATACCCCCGATGTCCCTTCGCTGCATGATCAAGTTCTTGAATGTAGACTTGCAAGCGACCGCGGTCAAACGAGTAAACCAGGTCGGATAGCCCGTGCTGATGATGATGGAGAGGGGCCTGAGCTTCGTCCGTCGAAAAGGAGAAGAATATTATCATATTCTCAGACACAGAACGTACGGGTAACTATTACGCTCTTTCAGAAAGCAATAACGGCTGACTGAGTCCTAGCAGCCCCCGAGTATAGGTTCACGATCGCCGATAATCCCTTCGAACGCTCCTACACCAGCCCATGCGTACTCCGACGGGTTGAATAGCCATCCTCACGCACGATGGAGGCCCTCGTACATGGTCGAAACACCAATAGGTTCTCGGCAATATCCGCCGTCCAACACGAATTTTTGGTCCGTTGTTGATGACAGGGCCATCGACGGATCGAGTTCACCCAATCAATCTGGCCCAATACCCGACACAAGCAATGTACCCTATGGTCTATTAGCTATGTCTGAACAGCACGTTCAACCATTTGTTCATTCCAACGAGGAATATGATCCACAAGCAGTACAGCCGTCACCTTCTAGTGCCTTCCCCTGCTATTCTACTGAACAGAATGTTGCACAGGCTAACTCTGTGGGCCAACCTCACCATGAAGGTCATGCTTATTCTCTTCATGGCCAGCGTGCATCCAGCAGGATGGATCAAATTCAGTCTTTCCCCGTTGGCAACTATGCTTCTCTGCCTTCAGCAGCCACACAGGCACAGGAAAACCACCAGTTGGTTCAAGCTCTTCGGTCTAGCGTGCAAGCGCAGATTCTAGAAAGCTCTGTAGCCGAGGGGAGGCGGGATTCATATTGGGAAAGTTTAACAAACAACCGCTCATTTCGGATATTGGAACCCGACCCATGTGAAGACCAATTCGAACAATCGTCTAATTGGACGCAGTCAGTTGCTCTTGATCCCGTCAATTTCTTAGAATACCTGCCCACTACAGCGCCCGCTGAGTCTCTACCCCTCGACCCCGTCAATTTCTTGGATTATCTGCCCACCACAGCGCCCGCTGAGTCTCTGCCCCTCGACCCCGTCAATTTCTTGGATTACCTGCCTACTACAGCGCCCGCTGAGTCTCTACCCCTCGATCCTGTCAATTTCTTGGATTATCTTTCTGGTTCAACATCTAACCAATCGTTTCAAACAAGGGGGTTAAACATCACTTTGACAGATCCGTCCATGGTTGAAGCGCAGCAGTGGGCTTTTCCAAAAACTGCAGTCCATTCGTCAAGCTCCCCTGTTAATCAGTTGTAGCTAGAGTTCAAATAATAAAGGCCTGCAGTGGATTATTTAGCGGAAACATTCCAGGCTACCCGTTAAATATAATATAAGCAAACAATGACGCTCAGAACTTTGACATCAACACCATAATGCGGAATTATGAAAAGACTACGGCACTAGCCTCAAGTTTTCTTTTCTTCGGGTATGACAACAAGTAAGAAATCCAAATCCCCACCCCACGGTTGGTCCATTGTCAACCGCATGAAATCAAATGGCATTAGGGTTGTATCTCCCACTACGATTCCGTTCTTGTCGATACTAAGTGGGAAGAAAAGATTATCAAGGCCCTGCTTTTTCTCGATGACAATGTTTCCTGATACCCTCCATAGCGTAAATCCCTAGGGCGCATAAGCGACTCGTGCCTCATATGTATAAGGGATGGTAATATACCGCTTTCTCAAGGCTCAGTTCTTTCAGTAGTGGCTTTAGAACGTTGAAACGGTTCTCATCTGTGCATCTGGACATGTTTTGATTTACCGCCTCGACTTGAGCTGAGGTGAACCATTTCGCGATCGATTGGAGATATTCGGACGCCCGTGGAGACAGCGAATTTGACATCTAAATAGCGCGAATATTAGCAACATGTATCGAAGCGCCATCAACTGTGAAAATCCCCGGTAGTACTAACATCAACCTGCTTTGAGCGTACACAGAAAATCAATGAAGGAGACTTGGTTATGACTGAAATGAGGGGCCCGAGGGGCAATAATCCGCAGCACTTTGAAGGGTGTGCAGAATCCGACCGCCTACCCCTTTATGGTTAGTACGTTGCTGCCCAAAAGAGATGGGGCGAGCAGTCACCTGATTGAGTTCGGAACTTTTTATCCTAAGTATATTTCAGAAGCAGACAATGCGATTTTACTGATCTCCCAAACAGTGAAGGATCCAAGTATGCGCTGAATTAAAAAAAAAAAAAAAAAAAAAATGCCAAGTGACTTGGTTGGCTACCATCGTGCACGCTCTCAAGTGATCGTTCTAGTTGGATACACTAGCGTTTATTGGGAGGCCACGGGTAGGCCGGGCATCACTACCTGTCGGCGCCTATGGTGTCCTTCCCACTGACCTATCACCCAGATTTTTTCTTCACGCTGTGATACGAATCTATGAGATTACGTGATCTAGCGGCTTGGCCCGCACACTCGAACCCCTGAGGAACTTACCCCTTTATCTATCATAGAAGAAGAAGAGATTAATCGTCATGGAAGAGAATTAAAGAGCCCTATCATTCAAAAGGCATTCGCTCCTTAGTAGGCTACGTGCGTGTACTGTCATTCTGACCTCCTTCCCCTGTGCATTTCATAACACGCTGTTTTCATCGGCATCCATGGAAGGGCTTTGTGGAAATTGTAGATTGAGTGGACAATTCCAAATCATTTACAAGCTGCCCAAAATCAAGGTGCTAAGGGCATTCACGTATAATTGCGGCTGTATTTTCCATTTCCTGAACCATGATATGCTTAGCTGATCCACAGTTCTGGATAACTAGCGGTCCGACTATGTATATTATAGACACTGTATTTTTCATTCTGAAATATCGCAATACCCAGTATTCCAGGAATCACTCAGAGCACTTCACTCGTCCGACGATTTGTTATCTCTTTCCTGGTACAATACATGGCCAGTATAGCGCCCCTGTTCATCGTGGTAGATATGAGCTGTCTGGGCCTTGTTGTTCTTGAACTGTTCCTCAGTTGCAAATAGTGCAGTGGCGTGCGGCTTGAGGTCGGTATGACTCGTGTGCGATGGATTTCTGCGATAAACGAAGTCAATATTTGTGAAATCCACTTAAGCACAGATATAATTGCTATACTTACTTGAGAATAGCGATGGTAAAGTGCGCTAAATCAGACTTCTGGGAGGCGTCTTCAATGAGACTGAGGGTGAGATTGCGCAAAGAAGGATTACGAATTCGTTGTGTGAACTTGACAAGATTTCGAGGAATGGGAGACATGTTGAAGGAAACTTTGCTGGATATTTAATACAGATTATATAGAAGTCCACGCGCGGTAATCTCTGTAGACTTCAATGCGTTTTCAGAGGAGAGCAGGTGCTGATTTATATATTTTGCTTGAAACTTCGTGAGCCTTCTTTTGCGCCACTATATTGTAGAACTATTAGAACCAGCATTTTTCGATTCTTTGAGAGTGCATAAGCGCTCGTTTCATTAGCTTTGGTTCAGTATCGCTCTCTATTCATTTGCTGCGACAAAGTATTGGGCGCTTCTATAAATCGTGTGATTGGCTGCTGTTCGCGGGGTTTAGACCTCGTCGTGTTGCTTTTTTGGGCACTCATGTTACCGGCAAACCCGCCAAGAACCCGAAACTCCGTATCTTACGGTAATATACGTGAAATATCAGGATACTAACATGTGCAGGCGTGTCATATATGTATACGTTACTCCAACCCACGATTTGGCGAGGTCTAGCGGGGTAGCTGCTCACGTCATCCAATCTAGGGGCGTGTCGCACTCCGACATGACCTGGACTCTGGAATATGATTCAACACAATGTGCACTGACGATATCTTCTTAATTAAATGTCGAGCACTTGGATACTCTTAAGACGCCCTGTCGCGTCGAGGAACATCCTGCAACTTCACATTGTGGCAAGGTCTATGTTCACCCATCCAGGCCCGGGTCAGATGGATCATCTTTACACTTCTACTGTTGACGCGGAACCACTTTATCGCTACCGACAAGGTGGCTATCACCCAGTCGCTCTAGGAGATCGCCTGAAAGCTGGAAGGTATAAGGTGCTGCATAAACTAGGATGGGGAGGTTACTCGACAGTTTGGGCAGCGAGAGACCAAAGGTTGTGTAAAATGTGTTACTCGTGATACTTCCAGCTGACTGCTTCTTTGCAGGGAAGAGAGTTATGTTGCTCTCAAAATTTCTATTGCAGAAAGGGAACATGACGGGAAAACGCGAGAGCTCCAAATTATGAAGGAATTGGCATCTCATCATCCTCGTCCCAAACATACGGTGCATTTGCTCGATGACTTCGATATAAGGGGCCCAAATGGATCTCATAAATGTCTAGTTTATGAGCTTCTAGGGCCTAATATCCCGGACACAATTGATGCACACTTCCCTGGTGGAAGATTGCCTGGGAAGCTTGCCAAAGTCATTGCCAAGCAAGCTCTTATCGGGCTTGATAGTCTGCACCAACAAAGTATTGGGCATGGAGGTAGGTCACTCTTGAAATCACTTTGAACAATTCTCACCAATATAGATCTACATACCCGCAATCTGGCCTTCACTATGCCGTCCGTAGATGATTTGACTGAAGAAGAGTTTACAGAGATGCTAGGAAAACCAGAAATTGGCTATGTCCGAAAGAGCGATGGAAAAAGCCTAGAGCCTGGCATACCCGAATATATCCTCAGGCCCACCTCATACCAGACATATTATCGGAATCTGTCCCAGTCAATCAAGATCATCGACTTTGGAGGAGCATTTTTACGCACTACAGTTCCGCAAACTTTACACACCCCTCTACCGGTTCGGGCACCCGAAATCATATTTCAAGATCACATTGATTATCATGTAGACTTGTGGAGCATGGGCTGTATGGTAGGTAAAATTATCCGAGGCTAAAGGTTATACAATAGTTAACTTATGGGTATGGCAGCTTTTTGAACTTTTTGTTGGCCAGCCACCATTTGACACATTTTTTCTAACACCGAGGATTCTCGTTGGTCAAATGTTAGAGATAGCAAATGACGACTTACCTGAGAGATGGCAAGGTATTTGGGATACGATGAATGCAGGGGATAACGAAATTACAGAAAGCACGGGGCTCAACTTGCAGGAATGGCTGGAAGAAGTGTACTTTGATTGTGCGCTGAGGCCCGATTTGACAAGAGAGGACATAGCGAGGCTGGGGCAAATTATCGGAAGATTATTGCGGTTTGAGCCGTCAACAAGAGCGTCAGCGAGAGAGGTTCTAGATGACCCTTGGTTCAATGAATAAATAGTCTATGACAGAGACACTGTGTGTTAGGGAGGGAAGACGAGGACTTATTCTCAGTCGACTGTACCTAGGAACTTCATGCTAAGGCATCTTCACCGCCGAAAAGCACCAGTCAACGAAAATAACCAAGAAAACCAGGAACAAAGGCTGTAAGATAAATTATGTCGCGAGTAAAGAAGGTATTTTGACTTGAAATTGGGTGGGAGGCATGGCGGGGCAGATGCTGGAACCCACTGATGCCCGAGCCGATAGCACTATCACGTGAACAAATTTCGGAAGTACACTGTTCCGACATTCACATCTAAACCTGGGGCTCCCCAAGTATGCCTCAAGCCTGTCTCCCTCGATTTGTTGCGTCTACACTCTTTCGTTTTCAGTAGATGATGTCTGACCTGTCCTTCGCCTCGGAAATCTTTGAACGCTGAACTTGCCGCTCGAGTTAAATTCCACTTAGATGATAGAGTCAGCTTTAACAATCATGCTAACGCCCTTGAACCCGATCAGATTGACCTATCCCAACCGAGCGAATCGTCGACCTCCTGCCGTTCCAGACCGGACTCAATGTTGTATACGCTATGTCAGTAGTGATTCGGGTACCCTCATTATATCAGTCGCGTACAGATCTCCTCATAAGTTAATGGTCGAGAACTTTCGCCCTGGGCTGCGACCGATGCGTTTCTAGGAAGAGGTGGTCAGGCCCAACCCCGTCCCTACGGAAGAATCCAAAAAATTGAGATACAATACAACCCGGCTAATGGGCTTCGGTGGCAGCCAAAGAATTCCATGTAATAATATAGGAAAGACTCGAATACTCCTATTTAACAAACGGAGTGGCGGTAGTTCTGTTGCAAGTCCCTTATAATAACCCGACCGCTTTGTAATACTACCTCTGCGAATCCAACATAAAATTCAATCCCGAGTTTATCGTTCGTCTATCCATTCTCGCTCACGCTGATCCGATAGTCATCAGGAATATCTTCATACCACTTCTGTTGCTGCATTTTACCTGCAAAGATGATTTGTGGAGGTAAAACAACGCCTGCGGCGCTGATCGTGATGATCGCCGTGACCTATTCTCGATTGCCTGCTTGCATTGATCTTGCATTGCTTTCTCGTGATTCTGCGTCGCATACAGCCTTTGCAGTAGAGGCAACCCCCATTTGGAAACCAGTCTTATCCATATTATAATTATCCTGTTCAAGAATCCCATATTTTTGTATGGTATTCTGCACCGATTCGAACCAGCGTTTTATAATCTTGGGGTCCTCGCATTTCGCTCGTTGGTAATCGTATCGCCTCGTGTATTTTGACTGCAATTCAGCTTCGTGGCGGTTGATGAATCGGTTGACCCAGCGATATCTTATAAAGGCGTTATTCGGAGCGGAAGGCTTCAATTTCGCGGCAAGGAGTATCTCTGCGAGATAGCGGACTTTTTCAATAGTAAGAGGGTATCCACGAGAGGCCATATCGAGGATCTTTCGCTTCAACACTAATTCATTATTATTAGAGACCTTCCTGCAATTCGCCTCTGTTTCGTTGCGCAATTTGATTCCTTTCAAGCGACCTTATAGAGTGCTTATTTTGACCTTAAAATCGGCCGCGCAGGCCTGTTTAGAGGATAACTGGCCTCTTTGAAAGGCCTCAGTAGCGAGCGCTAACCTCCTATCTCGAGATAGGCCTTCCATACTGTTGAATTGCCTCGTTTTTGATAAAATGGTTGAAAATTGAGCGTTCTGATAAGAAGCGGCAGTTCGGTTGTCCGATTACATTACTTCCAGCAGCCGCATATTACTAACGGAAGAAAAAAATTTCCAAAGGTCCTCCATAGGATCAGGGGCGACGGTTTCGACACTTCGACTACAGGCACGGATAGTCAAGGTGTCAATTCCTTGCCCCTGCTGGGAATCGAACCCAGTAACTCCTCCGAAATGTGCTAGCATATTACCACTAGACCAACGGTGCCTTATTACATAACATACGTTTAGGCGGTGAACTCTGGCTCAAAAATATGACTAACTAACTAGCCGTAGTTGAGCCGACCCACCCACCCACCGCCTTCCACCTCAACCACGGCTAACTAACAAACAAAATTACACCCGGACCGAAGAAACTTCAATGACTTTCAGCTCAATCCAACTCAATCCATCCAGATCTATCCAAATCCAAAAATTCCCAGGTATTTCCTCCTCTATCCGCCAAATTCAAGTCCAATCCAAAGATACGGGCCTTGAATCCAGCATCATTCAGCTGGAACGCCGACTTAACCTCTATGCTAATTTGAAAAAGAACAAACAACCCATTATGCCTTCTTCACGCCTGACTGCAGACGAGGCTGTAAGTAAACTTGTCAAGTTCTCTACGCTCACGCACCACCGAACCTATCTCAAAGATTCGGAACAAAAGTGAGTTGACGAAGCATTTCAACTCCTTACGAATGGACGACCTCCAGCTAGCTCAAAAGGGGCCAAGCAAAAAACAGCCTACCTTGAAATCCAGCGCAACATAAGAAAGAAGTTTGGTGATACTGGAGTCGTTTTATTCGAGTCGCTTTTGGAAGTGTTAACCAACCTATTCTTTCGCAATCGGATTTTATCTACAAACCATTAGCTTTAATCAGGCTTCAGAATTTGACATGAACATACGACTTGATTGATTTGTTCAACAAGATTTTCCCGGGGAATAGGATCGATTTTGTATTTTTGTACCTCATCGGCCATAGCTGAACCAATCCCTTAAGCCAATATAATGACAATGCGACGTGAATGATAATATGCCGATGTTTCCATAGAAGGACGGGAGAAACACAATGAGATATGCGAGTTGTTGGTGGGTCTGGTTGACTAACACCGTAGCAATAAAAGAGCACGGTTACAGGTGAAAGCTCCCTGTTCCCGATCGCAATATCTCGTATACATGCGAAAATTTAAGTTCGGCTTAGTATATGACTATGGCTCATCTACCCATAGAAAATTGAAGAAAAGGATAGTCATGCACAACTCTGTGAGTTGCTCAGGTGAGTAGTAAAGGCTGTCATATGATCTGAGGTAGAAATGAATCAAAAGTTGGACGCGTGATAAATTAGCAGCCGATTAGGCATCAGTGCTTGGAATTCGTTAAAATGAACAAGCAGCTTCGCGCTCTAATATTAGGCGATAACCAGAAGGCCCAAGTTGTAGAAACTCAGTTGAATTTAGGGAGGGGCAGGCAAAAATGTGGTAGTCGCGGGGAATGAAAGTCGGAACATGATTATCTGATTATCCTTGCAGAAACCTCTGCTACAACCCACCAAATTGCACGCCTTCTGCGTAACCACATGCTATTTTCTCCCCAGTTGAGTCCTACAGCATAAATTTTTATAACTCATTCCTGCTACAGGAAAGACATAGATCAATCATATATTTTTAGTGCGTCAAGTTCATCAAATTTAGGCTCTCATTGCTGTTATCGGCTGCATTAGGAAATCGTCATACGCGAGTTCTTCCGCAGTCGGTCGCTCATCGGGCAGCCAACGGAATATCCTCCGCAAGAACCGTAGGAAGAGCTTTCTATCTTCACCAGAAAGTCGTTGCGCTCTCATCTCGAATGACTGTTCCGGTATAGGTGTACGGCCTCTCCAGCTTCCTGTAATAAAAATATGTCAAACAAGGATACAGTTAATAAAAGACGGAAGTAGCTACCTTGTTCGTCCCACCATCGATTGCAATTCTCACTCTTTCTGATGAATTCTGGAGGCGGTGGCCCCATGAGAGATACCATTTCCGCTAAATGTTGTTCATTATCAAGAATTCCGTTGCGTTTTGCAAAAAAGAGATGACTGCCCTCCACTAAATCCCAAGCCTAGGCGATTTATCAGCTCACATGCGATCTTATGAGTATTGACTATGAGCAATGAACATAGTGTTGAATAGTTACCCAGTATCAATATTCGACTTACCATGGTACCAATTGACCAAATGTCAACCTTACTGTCCCAATCCATCCCTATGATTACCTCTGGTGCCCGATAAATACCGGGCATGATGTCGCCTCTGTGGTTTTGTGTTCCAATTCTAGCTTCACCAAGATCCGCAAGAACGGGTAGGCCCGCACAAACAGGCAACGGTCGAGAATAATAAATGACACGGTCGCTTAGAACTTTTCTAGCAATCGGTCTATTTATCTCGTCTTCCTCAATTCGAGAAAGTATAGAATTATCCTCAATCCCTTGGAGTATGTTATTGGAAGATATGTCTAGGGGTAGTGTTAGCCTATTTTATTAGCAAAGCTTCCAATCATAGGCTTACCAGTATGGATGGTATTGTTCTCATGCATAAAAGCCAAAGAAATTAAGATAAGTTGAATGCTCCTCTGAGCAAGGGTTTTTGGGAATATTCCATCGGGTAAGGATTCCTGAAACTCAGTGAAATTCATTCCCAATGGCCGATATACCAAACAGATGTGTTTTCCATGAGGGCCTGTAACCTCGAATGAATCGAGGACAAGACGAATTAGGCCTTTCCCAACATGCTCCTGGGAATTCTTCAAGTGTTCGGAGACAGTTATTTCATGATCAGTATGCTGTCCCCGAACACAAACCTTGAGCGTAAAGAAGTTATGCCCTCTGATCAAATTAGATATAGGAAGCAGCTAGATATTGATTGGATACTGACTGAAGATCTCGACAAAGCCAGGCAGTAGAAGATGTGCCATATCCTAGTTTAGAGACCACTTGGTATCTGGATGCAAATACTTCGCCAATGTAGACAGGGTAGTAATTTTCCGCAAGATAAAGAGGAAGCCTTTCTTCTTCTATTTTCTCTGTTAAGTCCAGGTTCACGAAACCTGATGTAGGAAATCGGTGGGAAGGTTGAAATGCACTGGATGCCATCTTTCTCAATTTTCTGGGATGCCAAATAGGCAGAAACGATTTTTTGATCAAGGGGTTTTGGAGAAACGGATGAAATCTTCTAAGCAATGACATGATTCATAAAGTCCAAGAACAAGATCTCAGAAAACGAATGACGACCGACTCAGCTTAAATTAAGACAGCTGCTGCAACGGATATTAATCTATCGGCTGTCCTTGCCATAATTAGTAAGTCCCGGGATAAATTTAGTCCGATTTAACTTTACTACTTTAGTTCCCAAATAAAGTGAGAATTCAGAGGTCTGTTTGGAACTAACTGGATTTTGTTGGAATTGACTGGATTTTGTTGGAATTGACTGGATTTTGTTGGAATTGACTGGATTTTGTTGGAATTGACTGGATTTTGTTGGAGTTGACTGGATCCCATTGGAACTAGCTGAAATTCACTGGAAATTCTTAGATTTAGCGAAGTCAGAATAGGCATAAGTGGATGTAGATTTCAGACACTGTAGAAATGGAAAAACGGTCTTTTCGGTCAATGGCAGCATTATTTTCAACGTAACTTCCTTCGGGTGGCATATTCACATCAAAAGAATGGCTGCTATATAAACACTACCGAGTACTCTCTTCAATGCCAACTTCATCATTATTCGGATCTCTAGTTTAACAGTCCCATTTTGTATCAATCTTTTGAAACCCCAACATGCCAAATTCCAACAGAGCGCTCGCAATGGTATACAAAGGAATTTCCTTGGAAACTTTTAGTAAAGAAGCGGGTCAAGGATACAGGAACACAGTTGATACTGCCGGTAAAGCCCTTGGGACAAAGGTAACCACTTCCTTGTTAAGCCGAAGGCTAATTGAATGGCGATAGATGAAAATCTAAATCATTTCTAGTATCCAAATCTTGTGGAAGGGAGGATCCAGTATGCCATCCACCAACCTTCAATATTCGAGTGACTTCCTACTAAAATATGATCCTTTTGAAGGGGCACGAGACCTCATCCATCAAACAAGGACAAGACCGACGATAAGGACGTTGTCACCGTTGGATACCATACTATGAGTGGAACGAGATATTTGTCCATTCATGCACACAGTGATGGAACTTGGAAAGAGTTCCTTTCACGCGCGGGAAGATCCGCGTCTGGACCTCAATCAAAGGAAAGTGCTCAATCTAATGAGAATTCTCAGTCGGAAGAGCAAGCTTGAGTTAGATGCCCAGATGCTGTTGTTCAGGGCATTTGTGATTTTCGTTTTTGGGCGAATTTTTGAAAAATGGACCTGCATATATTCTTCGGTTCTTTGTCTTTTAATGCTCTATTTTATAGTAGCCGATTAACTATATTAACTTTGAAAATGATTTTATCCTTAATGTGAGTAGACATACTACTAGGCCAAATCATCATCTGGGGTATCTTCAAGGTCCTGTTCTAAATGGCAACTTTCTAATTGTCGGTTGACTTGGTCATTACCTATAGCAGATAACCTATCGATTCAATAGAATATAGGTATATGCTTGGTGGGTAAAAGTGAAGTCCCATTTCAAAACCACAATCTGCCTAGCCATTTATAGCTCCATTTGTTTACACCTATGCATTCCTGATCCATTGGTATGTCATTTGGAATGGTAGGCCAGGTCTAGGCCAAGTAAGGTACTGTGCGGTATGTGGATTAGGTCAGGATCCTCCACCTCTCTGGTCTGGTTGACAATATTGTTCCAACACTAACCATTTCACCAGCCTCTTTGGGGGTCCAGGTTGATCCGGAAATGCGGCGTGAAAGCCTCAAACCTTGTATGGAGCACCTTTCAGGCCACGCGCTGGGTACCAGGTCTCGTCAGGGTCCCATCCCTTCTACCTTACTTGGTATTGAAGCCTTCCGCGGAAGATTCGCGAGGCTACTACCTCCTCTACCTCCTATTATTCTTCATCAGTTGCGTCGCACACCTGACGTAGAATATTAATGACAGACTTAGACTCGTGCATACAGCGAGGTAGCACAGCCTCAAATAACCACGAGACAAATTGCAAACGCATGTCGAACGGCGTCGACAGGGAAAGGAAACGAAGGGACATAGATTTGTATTCCTTCTCGCGTGATGTAGTGTTCGCGATTGACGTCTTCTTGACATGTTACCCTCTTGGCTTTCTCGGTTTATTTTGCTGGGCTGGTTGCTTGTCGAAGTTTGACAGAGTATATCGAAAGAAAGTCACATTGAGGGAGTGTTTTGTCTATTTGGCCAAGCAAGCTAGCAAAAGCAGCAGCATCGACAATAAAATGAAACCCGAAGACTGGGTTAGTCAGAAGAGCAGTCGAATTGTTGATAATGATTCTATATCGTTCGGATCTTCCAGTGCCGAGTCTTCCAGTACTGAGTCTACTGATAGTGAGGAGAGCGATAGTGATAAGAACGACGTTAAGAGAGATAAGAATACCAATGAAGAAAGATACGGCAAAGACATTGATCAAAACGAAACGTCAAAGCCAGAAATGCTTTCACATCGTCAAAAAGTCCCAGGACGCCAAATTCAAACCCGCAGTTTAACCTACAGAGAACCAAAGGAGTCTTCTGTTGCCGGCATAGAATCTGATACGAGACATCTGGCTATCGAAGATCAGCCTGAATCCTATGCCAACTTTCCATGGAAAAAGGGTACTATCTCCATTCATTTTGACAAGTCGCGTGGGAAATGGAGTTATAATACTAGCTCAGGAAGATGTGTATATGTTGACCTTAAGCATGATAAGGGTAAAGGTTTCTTTTTGTCTTGAACAATTACTGTTGGCGGGCAAAAAAGACTGAATGAAGTTACAGTGGATATCATTTTTGACATGATATTTCTAATGGGCAAAATCATCCATCCAATAAACTCATATATCATCGCAAAGAACTTTACAGAATGTATTAATATTATGACTGAGTTAGACTTGCTTCCCTAGAGATTTACGCCCTGGAGCTCCGGGAGTCGATTTGACTGTCAGTAATCAAAATCTACTCTTCTTGGACAAGCAATTACGTCTGAGATAGTAGACCTATGAAAGCCGGTATCTAGTGGATGGGATAATACATCTGGATCTCCTGTGATCTATTTTGTAGGGGGCTTCTGTTCGACAGAACCTTTTTTACCAGGATGCTGCATGTTACTTATATTCTTAATCTTTGAATGTACGCGGCACTAAGAAAGATACCTTCAGGGCCACCTCCCAAAAGCGAAATGATATAAACCAAAGGATTTTATCTTGATCTGCCAGTACTCAAGAGGAAATACTCTGTAAAAAAGAAAATACAAACAGGGCTAACGCACTCAAAGTTGCTACCCAAAATGATGTTCTCCCAATGAAGTTATCACAAATATCCCACCAGCTATAGCTCATTTTCTGGCACAGTAGGTACAACATGTTCGCACAGCATCTGTACTGTTCCCAGCTTCTCAACAAGAGCCCTTCCCAAGCGAACAAGAGCTTCGTTCGAGATGGTTGTCGATAAAGGAGTCCGCTCACTAAACAAGACGTTCGGAATGTGTACTGAGCGAATTATCGCTTCGGCCTCTTTGATGTGGTATTAGATGTGGTATTAGAATTGCGAGAGAAGAGAGCGTGTGTTGCTTTTGATAGTGGAAACACCAACCTAAAGCATATTTCAATGTACAGTGAACATATAATTCCTGAGCATATTTCTCAACTTGTTTCAGTTCCGGCATTGTGTCTGATGCGTAGGTTTTGAAGTTGGAAGGGGTAAACTTTTGAAATGTCTCTGAATCTATTTAAAGCAGATTGTAATCAGAGTTTGATCAATAGCCGCGAAATAGCTGCCGTATAATTACCTTGCATAAATCTATTCCGAAAATATAGAAAGAAAATGTTATCACTCATCTTCTCTTGGTCTTTAGTCGCGGCTTCTGATCCAATAAGGGCTGCAAAGTAAACGGCAAGAGGGTATTTCCAGTTAGGCGCAGTGCTGCTCAAAATCTCATCGACAACCTCCAGGCATGACCGCATCTCTGTCGAACACAAAAGATGTCGAACATTATCAAGGGGCCAAACAACTTGACGGACACGAATCACTTCGTTCGCCCAGCTTACTTTGCCATTCTTTGGTTCGATGTCATGAATTTTAGCAAAGTGAGGCTGTAGGCGCCGCAACCGACCATTCACAAACAGCGTTTCAGCAGAGAATACCTGACACTTGATTTCGATTTTCAAGGAGCCCTGTGAAAGGAATTCCCCAAAGTAATAATCTCTCTTAGTTCGAAGTCCTAGGAAATTTTCCAAGTTCTTTACCTCCGAATGAATGTCAAAGTTGCTGAAAGCGCGAATTAAATCCAGATCGCGAAGTTTAAGGAATAGCGTTGTGTCAATAACATATAGTTTGATATCTTCTAAGCGCGACCTGTCTCGCGTGCTTAGATGTCGATAATAGATGTATTGGATTGCAAAGAGTAATGAACTCGTCCAAGAGACGAAATTGTCTTCTATGCAATCTTTTGGCCACCAGCGAAGATGGTTGTTCAGTGTTTGAGCCACCCGTCCTCGCTTCTCAGTATCCAACCGAAAGAAAATGTCTTCAGTAGAGGAGCTCTTGCCTTGGTATGCCGCCTTAGAACGCACCCACATTCCATTTTTTTTTCTCCGTACGAATGAGGAGTAGCGACGCGAAAAAGGTAACGTGGAATATCTTGCAGCGCTTCTTGTGATATTTCACTATCTGAGGGGGTGTTGAATAGCAGCTGTTCTTGTTCAGCGTCCAAGCGGCTTTTTGCCAGCGTCTTCGTCAAATAGTCCATGTTGATCTGTGCTAGTCCTAGCCGTGGAGAGTGTAAGGAAAAGAATATCACAGTGTAATGAGGGCAGTAGGCTTATTACACTCACAAGACTATAGTGCGTGGCTGATGTGACGGTCTATAAAGGAGCTTAGTAAAAGATAAGTTTGTTTATGACTCGTATTCAAAGAATTTTCCCATGTGGAAGAAAAGCTATCTAGAATGGAGGATCTAGAGCCTCTATATACTGCCCGAGGCTTCACCTCAGGCAGGAATGGCTGCAGGAAGGTTCCTGGATACCTACCGGAGAGTCCCTCGATCCTATACTAACTAACCGGAACGTTCCTCCGCACGGGGAAGTTCCCTGGCTTCAGGAGGTCACAGCTGAGATCAGATGAAGGTAACAGATGCTTGCCAAAGAGAAGGTTCCAATTAGAAATAGTGGGACCTATATCTGACAAAACATCCTTGTATCGTTGGTCCCCGGTAGGACCGTAGGACTGCCTGGCGCATAAATCCTAGGGTAATTTAACCATCCAATCCGCGCTAAAATAGTTCCTGTTGTCACAATCCAAGGAGGTAAGAAAGGATCTTATTAGCGATAACTAACGATAATACTAAGCTGGAGAGGAGAAGGAAAGAGAGAGATCGCTGCAGTAGTGGCGATCATATATTATACAGGCGGAGACAATGAGACAAACAGAACAAACACAGCGAATAATGCAAACACCAATCGAACCTAAGCCAGGACGTCGCACCTGTCAGCATTTCGCTATTGGAGTCTACATATACGTGACTTGTCTTACTTAAATGTGTTATCTGTCTCATTCTGCTTTGTCCACATCATGGCCGAAATATACGTTCACGTAGCGGGGCTCTAATCAAAAAAACAGCTGGTAAAATATCTCTTCGTTGCTCAGAAACCGGAAAATTGATTATATTCAGATATGGTCTTCTGATAGTTTAGAGGTAGACTCAAGAAAATCCTAGGAACACCACCTCGCATTTGCAGAGTTTACCGATTTGCCCTGCCACAAAATATCGCTCTCAGTCACAATAATCTTACAACATTTAACCAAACTTCGGAATAACTATAGTCCCCACACTCCTACACAGTGTAACATGGACAATGATATTAATCATCCTACATAAGTGACTGTTTTTCCGTTCGCCATCGTGCAGCGGCCGAGGTGAGATCATCCGGACAGTGCCAACTGTCCCAAGTGTCGATTAGGACCAGGGTATCCGTACCATATCTATTAGAATATGCTTGGCTTGAAATTGCTTATAGGTACTCATCGCTCTGTATCGCTGACTGGTCGGCGTAGAGGGGATTCTCTTTCTGGAGAAAGTCATTCAAAGTAGTGAGGTCGGGGTTGGAATAGGCGTGTTCAATATGGCGGAGCGCTTTCAGGTGTAAATTGAGCGCTTTTTCTTACGCTACGAGAGTAATGAGCGATAAGGATTATCCTGCAAGTTAGGACTTGCTCGTTGAAGTAGCAGCTTAACTACTGCTTCATGCCCGTTTTCTGACGCCCACAACAATGGTGTCCGGCCGGAGCTACTCTGGGAGTTGGGATATGCTCCATGCCCAAGTAGTATTTTGACGACTGCTTCATGCCCGTTTTCTGATGCCCAGGAGAGTGGTGTCCGACCAGAGCTATTTTGGGAGTTAGGATCTGCTCCATGTTCAAGTAGTTTGGAGGCGGTGGATCACTCGGTGTGGATCACTCGTAGGTGAAGCACGTTGTATCTTTAATCACAGACTCATCCGGACAAACTTAATGAATTCCGTCGACCACTTCCACACCTGTTCCTTAGCCGTCTCTGCCATGGTTTTTCCACCATGTTCAACGAGCAACTTATGAATGTCCCAATTGCGACATTTATCTGCTAGTGCACAAGGCGTTTGGCCTTGCAGATCTGCCTTGTTGATGTCCGCCCCGTGGTCGAGAAGTAGTTGCACCATCCCTTTATGCCCTCCTAGTATGGCGTAGTGAAGCGGTGTCATGTGAAGAGCTGTAGCTTCGTGATTTAGCTCCTTTGCCAGCGCGCGCGACGAGAATAATGCGTTCCGCGATGGGCTCATCTCAGTCAAGTGGCGGAAGACATCCTCGAGGCCAAAATATGCGACTAGGTGGATTGGGCGCACTGGAGGGGCCATAGTCCAGGGCGTTGAGTCTAGACTAAACTTGATCAGACGTATGTGGCCTAGGGAGATAGAGAGCCCATATTCAGTTGCATTCACTTTATCTTCTTGCTTGAGGAATTTTAAGATTAGGTCGCGATGGGCAGAGGTATTTCGGGCATAGTGGCCCCACTCTGATGCTGCGTAGAAGTAAAATTGACACGAGTCTCTCAAATTAGATAGTTGTTCGAAGGGTAAAACTTGCAGTGGCCATGCGAGTGTTACTGGTGGCGTGAAATGTAGAAGCATCGAGACGCATGTTTGGGTCATTTCAGCATCTGCATGCGGGAAATGCTCCCGCTGGGATGAGACGAAATATTCATGCGCAGTGTTGTGTGCGAACACGATTTGGAGAGTTGTCGGGTTCATGGTTAAGAGGCCGAGACAAGCGGAGAAGATTTTTTCCATGGAGGCGATATTCGGTGTTCCAGATGTGGAATTCGTAGTTCCTTCCGAAACTTGAACACCAAGAGCCTGCTGCAACAGGGGAAATGTCATTGGCCTCTTGGAGCACGCAATCCACATAATGGCACGCATAGCTAGAGTGTCACTGCGAAGCTGTAGCCGTTTTATCGTTTTGGTATAGGTATCTTCAAGCAATTTTGACCTTTGGTGGCTGGATGTAGAAAGGCCCGCGTTAATCTCCACCAATGCTGCTTTGAATTCATCGAGAGAGGAAATATCCCTGTCGTAAAGGAGATTCAGATAAAGCCGAACAATGAGGAACCTGACGTCCATGAGCAAGATGAATCCCGATAACGGGGTACATGAGTTACATACACTCCTCCAGCAGCTTGCAAAATGTCTCTTTTGGCTTGATACAAGACGCCCGGATATGCCTTAACGCCTGTATATACGCGCAGAAGCTCGTCGGATAGGTAGGCGTCAAGGTCATCTGGCGATCCCAAGAGTTCTTTGATTATGAGGGCGGTAGGGCTGAAAAGCTCTAATATTCGATGATCGGGCCTGGACGTCAGGAAGATGTTCACGTTCAGGTGAGACTGGAGTCTGATGAGTTCCATGAGAAGGTCTTTCCTACACTTTGGCGACTGGCATTCGTCTAAGGCGTCCACGAGAAGAAAGATAGCATCAAACGCTCCAATTACAGAATGGAGAGCAGCTATCAAATATTCTGGGGTTGGGTTTGGAATATTATGCCTGTCATTGAACATCATCTGCACCGAGTCATGCACCCCGTTCCCAGAATATGCAAGCTGTCTTAGAAGCGCAGCCATGAGACAGCGGAGAGATTGCTCTTGTTGAGCGGCATAGTCGAGATAAAGAAAGGCAACTCCAATGTTGGCATGCGACCTCCTCGATAAAAGATGATTGGCTACAGTCGAGGTCATGATTGTCTTTCCAACACCAGGAGGGCCTGGACAAAACAGTATCTGACCGCGCCCGTTTGACCACTGAAGGAACTCAGTGGACCTGAGGAACGACAATCCGGTATTTTTGTGTCTCATTTCGGAAAATCGACAGTGCTGGATATTGTGGTCATTACTTGCAAGCCAGTTGAGGATAGCCTCAGTGTGATTCTTATCAGCCGTGGCCTTCAAATCGGTGATATCTGCACGGTTTACACAGAAGAATATGTTAAAAATAGTTCATATTTTAGACTATAAATTGATGTTTGCTACTGACCTCTCCAAAGCTCCTGAATTCTCCGTTGAACCTCTACCCTGTTTGGGGCAATTTCCATAAGCAGCTCCTTCGCAAACCCCGCCGCCACCATCGCCGCGTATCCTTGCCATGCATCGTTTTTATGTGTATCTGAATAGTCACAGATACCCCGAATAACAAGACACGGAAAGTGGTTCATTAATCCGGCTGCTTCCATTTCAAAGCACAAGACGTTCTTCTCCTCAACAAGTTTATCTCGGATGGTGGCATCCTTCATGAGTTGGTTTGCTGAGGCAATTGTGCCATAGTGAATTGCTGGGTTATCTTCATGCGGTTCGCGTTCTCGTCGCTTCACTAGACTAGTCTCATTGAATTGTCGCTCCGGGTCGTAAATGATTTCAGACTTGAAGAGTCGATCGGTTTTTGGATGGGGTCGCTGAAACTTCGCCTTCAATCTCGGATTGTCTGCAAGAACAGCGTCAACAGCCTCCTGGATCCGATGACCCTTTCTCCTGTGATCCGTTTGGATAACTGTCACCACACTCCGAAGAATAGTCGGCGGTTGATCCAGTAATCTTGTCACTTGAAACTTCTTCCCCTGCACCGTTCTCCCAAAGTCATACTCAAAGACCCCCCTTTCTCCATCCCTCGGGGCACTAACAACAACATCTCCTAATCGAATATCGTTTGTTCTGCTTGGAGCACCTCCGCCGATCCCAACCATGAGCCCGATTCGGATATTGGGAAAGCTGCTAAGCATATTCGCGGCTACTCTTGCTGCACAGGCAGTCCCGTACTCACCATCGGGTAAGGTTGCAATAACGACGTTATGGGGGCCAATCTTGCCAAGCTTGTAACCGTTAGCGTCATGGGGATGAACGAATTCAGGCTGGCCGTGTTCTTCGTCGAGAAATGTCTGCGCAGCGACGAACTCGACTGGAAGGGCGCAGATCCAGCCGACGGTGTACTTTTTGGGATCAGACATAAAGTCTTATAATTTTCGAGAATAAAAAATGGTAAGCCAGGTAATTGTCCGGAGAAAATTCCATCGCTTACGACATGGAAAGAGGCCTTTATCTATGAAGAGATGATAGCCGCCAGCCTCGTGTGGCTGGGGAGGCATGTCTCTCATATCACACATCAAGATCATACCTAGAATTTGATTGGTGCCGCGTTCAGGGATTTCGTGGACAGCAGCTTTACCCCGCCTTTAGGCAGACACAATAAAACACCATGCTAGAGTGGTTGAAGCTCGTCCTAGAAGCTGGGATATAGGCTCTCTATACGAAACTTCTAGATTGTTAGAACTGTTTAAACGATGACAAACTCACTGTTGGAGATCTTCCCGAAGTGATGGTGGATGGTTTATCAGCTTCCCTGAAGACATACCATGGATCTAGTCGTTAAGACAAGGCAGCCAATTCATTGACTCGATTGCCACTCATCCAATTCTGCGGCTGTGGCAATAGAATCAGGGTGGGTTACCCCAAGATGGCGATTGTGCAGGCCAACACATGCTTCTAGTAGTGCTAAAGCAGCCTCACCCTTTCCTTGTGTCCTCCATGTACGAGAAAGCTGCCACATACTTCCCAGTGTATCTGGTTTACTTTTTCTTTAGACCCAACTTGTAGAGGATGCGCAACGAGCATATGTCGACAATTTTTGTAAATACGGCCTCGATAACCAAAGGGCCTTCTAGTCCGATATAGCGCTCGGAGGTTTGAGACTGTCGCTTCGATATAACAAACTTTTCGGTTTCGAACATGGTGTGTGTGTGTGTGTGTGTGTGTGTGTGTGTGTGTGTGTGTGTGTGTGTGAAATCATTTACCCTTACCCCTCACGAGTTAAAACACTGGATTGAGGTACAAGTGTGTATTATAATCTAAATGAGAATATCTAGCTATTTGTAGTCGTAGCAGCTCATATCCCTGCTGCCTAGGGAAGTGGCTTAAGCACCACTCCTACAGATCTATATACATCACGTGACTTGGGGTCTAACTTCGCGAACGATATGCAGACTACACCAACTATATAATGTACACGTAGAGTGTTCTACTTCCTGCGAACGAGATTAGAGGCTCGGTAAGGCCGCTTGTGGCCTAAATTGCCGTTCCAAATTGTTAGACTGCCCTCGTGGCGCGCGACTGCGAAACCGCCGTGACGCCTCGGCGAAGTCCAGCACAGCCTCGACCGTCCTAGCCCGCGGCACGCTGTCTTGTTTACTAGGCACTATTCTTTATTCGAGACATAAGGCGAGTCCACCTCTAGACCGCCTTGCTCGTTGCTTTGTGATCATCAGTCGACTGGGCCAGAAAGATCGGATCTGGGCTCGAAAGCGGTAGGCGATATATAGGAAGGCCGTCCCAAAAAAGGTTGGCAGCATTCGGTAGATAGATAACTAGGAGTTACCTATATTGTACTCTGTTCTCAGATCTACAAGGATTGCCGCATATCTCGGACAATAATACGGGTAACACGACTTGAAGGTGAGTGAGTTTCTTCTCTTGCTGTGCTGAGGTCTTCGTCAAATTCTTGTTAGGCTGGCCTGCCGACACCGCATGTGAATTGAAAGTGTTGAGCGATACTGCTCGCCTACACTTCCTAATGTAGACTAGCTCTACGCATAGTGGCCTCAGATAGCTGATCATTCGATCAACCTCCATTAGGAATACCATGAATATTCGATATATGATTAACATAATCTTCAATAAGTATCGGTTTGATGCTGGTCAGTCTATGCATCTGAGCTTATGGCCGTCTACTATGCTATAGGGCCCAATTTCATCCGGCACAGAAGAACCAAACCACAGCTCCTACAGTCTAAGTCCCAGCGACGATCCTCAGTGACAGTATCTGCACTGCAGGTAATCGTAAACTCATAGAACAAGTCAGGTCAGCGAGTAGTTCAAGCTTTTTATCATTTGGCCGGAGAGCTAAAAAGCGTGAGGGATTCGGCTCGCCCCCCACCCCGCCAAACCGAGCCTACCTGCTTACCCAGCTTTAGACAGGACATGCATCGCTGGCGAATCATGGCAAGCGGCATGGTTCTTCCGAGACGACGAGGAGTTTGAATATGGAACTCATTCAGGGACTATGAATGTTAAATTTGATCAGACAATAGAAACTCGAACGGATTTAACCAGTAGAAGAAAATTATGCATTTGAACATGCTCTACTAATACAATAGTCGTGATAAAGTCAAAGCTTAACTCTATGAGACCTGAACGTTTCTGTCTGGAAGGCTGAACCTCTCCACCACAGCGGGATCCTAATATTACAATTGTTGCCTAAAGAACTACAGGGGCGCAGCACCTCTAGTTCAGGCACCGGCCGTTCCAGGAGGCGGGGTATCAAACCAATGGTATGTCGTGCTTTCCCTATTCATAGGACGGAGAAGAATAAAGTGGGGCGACCAGCCCGGTCGCCAGGAGTCGCCGGGCGACGGAGGTGCTATCTAAAGTGCACCCAGGGAGCTCGCGCGACGGCGCCGGCGATCGCCAGGGTCGCCGGTTTAGAGGCACCCACCCGACTATTGACTGCACACAAGCCACACGCCGGCAGGTTAGTAGTTGGGTGGGTGACCACCAGCGAATCCCTGCTGTTGTATGTTTTTGCTTTTTTTTTATCCTTGCTCTACTGTAAGATCCTTCCTTCTCTCGCAACTTTCGTCGGAAGTAGAGTCTTACGGGTATTCGAGGGTGCAACAGTACTAGAGCGGCCCCTAGAGGCGGACGATAAGGTGCCAAGGGAGCTAGAAGAGCCAGTAACGCTGGTAGTGTCCAAAGGAAAAGTAAACGAGGTATTAGGTTAGCAGTTCTTGCTAAAGGTAAAATTAACCTCTTTATTATCGCACTCTTTATGCCGGGCTATGTCTAGGACAGCAGCTACTGTATCGAAAGTCTTATAACTGAAAGATTTACTGATATAGAGAACAAAGGTATACTGGAATTTAGTCATACGCTCCTCTTCGGGGGTCTCAGCACAAATCTACAAGGGAAGAAGATACTAGTAATAGACTGATACAAATTCATTTTTTTCTTGTTTTACAGTAATTAACTGTTTCGCGTCTCTCTTGAGAAAGTAGATACCTAGATACATTTTAAGCTCTTTTATAAAGATTTGGTAGGTTACCTTCGATCTGTAAGTAGCAAACTGGTTTATAACCTTAAAAACATCCTTTAAGAGATATTTCAGAGCATATAAGATCTTGGACCTATTATCGGGATAGAAAGTGCTATCGATACGGAGTTTCTCGTTAACCGCAAAATGCCAAATAGGGTAAAGGTCAGCATCATTATTATTAGTACCTAGGGAAAAGATCAGCTTCTTTCTACGAGGATAACTAAAGGTTTCAGTTACAGTAGTTTCAGTAGTATATTAACGTTCTAAACGCTGAAACTGACTGCAGGGACGCAGGTTCTCGTGCAGACTAAAAAAGGGATTATCTTCCACGTTCTCAACCGGCTTATCGACGCCATAGAAATCTTTATCTAAAAGGGAGACTCGGGGGCTCTGAGGCTGAAGGGCTTCGGGTTACTCGGAAACCTCAAAACGCTAAAGAAATCCAAAACGTTTAGCAGAGGCCTATTCTGCGGTAACTTTCAGCTAGATAACCTCCTCTTGAAAGTAGAGAATAGTCTGTACAGTCTCGGAGTAAATTTTCTTGTAACGTTTAGCGCACGAGTTTTAGTAGATTGCTAGAATATTACGAGCATTTGTTTGCTCCTCTAAAATCTGAATCTTCAACTTCATTATCTCGATCTCGTGAGTAGCGTTGGAGGTCTCAGTAGAACAATCTGTAAAGACCGGAAAACAATCGAAACTGGTACAAAGTATTAAATCGAGACTGCTGAAGTCGAGGCGGGTACTAGTAATGGAAACAGGTACAGTTAATGTTGTCTCAAGATCTGGCTGGGTATTAACGAAAGGCTGAGCTGTTTTGCTGGCAGGAGACTGAGTGATTTTACTAGCGATCTTGGTCATTTTTGCAGGTTTCTTCTTTACGGCGGTACTAGGAGTCTGCAGCTCAACAGTAGATTTATTTTGGCTCTTTTGAGAGTGCCGTAAAGCCACGCTACTGGTTCTGCTGGCGGCAGACGATCTAGTAATAAGACAATCTATCGGGAGGTCCACTCTAGGGGTCCTGGAAGGATTCTAAAAGGCTTTGGTAACGCCAAGGTTGTGCAAACGGGTAGTGGGTCAATGTGACGGTCTACAAAGGAGCCTAGTAAAAGACTAGTTTATTTATGACTCGTAGTCAAGGAATTTTCCCATGGAGAGGAAAGGCCATCTAGGAGCGAGAATCTAAGGCCTCTATGTACTAACTGAGGCTCTGCCTCAGGCAGGAATGCATTCAGGAAGGGTTTTCCGTACTGGGAAGTTCGTATCGGAAGTCCGTATCGGGAAGTCCTTGGCTCAGGAGATAACAGTCAAGTCAACGAGAACAAGGTTCAAAGGGATCCAAATAGATGAAACTGATAAAAATACTGATGGAATCAATGAAATAGCGATGCAGCTTATTAGTGTAAGGCACTGACCTCAAGAAACGTAGATCTATCAGGTGTCCCCGGCCAGCGCGTGGCCGTGATCACGAGGTTACTGCCGCGTTCTGACCGCCTGCCAGTTATGGACTAGCGTCTGGCGAGGTTATCCCACAACACCACGAACCACGATCCTGTCAATATTTTCCCCTCCATGTTTAGATTTCTGAAAAATAGCGCCGGATAGTTGAATGGTTGCCGGAGATCCCTGAATTTCATTACTACTCCTTGTACCAGCCGCCATATCCTACCTACCTCCTTACTTACCATCCATATCAAACAGCTCAGCTACCCATCCGCTCTATCTCGATGGCTTCTTCCGAGCATAACCTGTCCTCGCCAACCCCAGCTCGCGCCCTCCCTAATGGATGGCCCCGCATAACTGAATCCACTCCAGTCCGAGACCTTGGCCCTGGAACCATGGATTATGAGCGCTGTGCGGCTCTACATAATGAGCTCCTAACCAGGGCTGTCAAAGGTCATGGCGGCCAGATGCCCTCCAAGCCCCTATCCTGGTGGGAGGCCAGGGGGCCTTCTGAGGAAGTTGCCAACAGTCTCCACCCGTCCTTGATAGAATTCCTAAAGCGCGCTTGGGATGAGGATGTGCTGCCTCCTTACTTTAGGCTCTTTACCTTTCTTGGTGGGTTGAAGTCTCCGAATGACTTGCGAAATCATCAGGTTACTTGGCATGAGGAAGAGGATGAAGACGGAAGGCTTGTCAAACTCTATGAGTCTAGTCACTACCGAGTCGCAGATGATGAGGGTATTTTGTATGGCTTTATTCCCTCAAGCTATCCGATGACTGACTTGGAGGCAAGGCGAGCTGACTTATTAATTAGTTTTGATCAGACGACTCTAAAAGCAACCTTTATTGAAGATATTAATGATACTATGTTCATCACTAGGAAAGAATGGAGCTGGATGCCTCTGGAGGTTATTCTAGATTCATATCTTCAGATGGTTGACGAAAAAAAGGCGCAGGTAGTTTCCAAAGATCAGGCAAAACTACTAAAGATGGACTTCCTACATGGATTGATGGAACCCTGGATAATCCATCAGTACACAAAAGCGGACCTAGAAAGGGCTACCACTGCTTTCAAGCGCCTCGTGAGAGTAATCGAATCTCAAATCCCGCACAGAGATAATTATACTACTGTTATAAACTTACCGTGGCATAATCCAGCAATATTCGAGGACCAGTGTATTCTCCCCCCCTCATCATTCGCCCACGAGTTCCTGCGATCCATTTCTGACTGCAGCGTCCGATTTCGCTACGTCGCGCCGGGGATCCGATTCCCTACTGTCGCCGAATTCCAGGATCAACCTATTACGGATTTTATTACATCGCCGCATAACCACCTCGGCCAGTACCCTGGCAACTGTCCTCTCCGGATCCTTCAGATTGACGACGCAGACTATCCTCAGCCAGTAGCGCATGGTAACTATCTCGGCCTCAACAATATCTCTGCCGGATTCTATATCCCTCACGTTGTGGTAGAATGCCCACTATTCTGGAGTAACGGATGTCGACTTCTACTACCCTTTGCGATTGGGGCTTTAGGATGGGCTCGACTCTCGAATGGACAACCGTTTGGATTAGCCGACTTTGATTATATGGAGGAATACCCAGAGCCTCGTGATAATCATGGGGATTTATATCAGGCTGGGACTACAAATGGTATTACAAACAATCATGCAGTGCAGATAGACAAGGTGCTGAATAACTGGGCTGATCGGGTTGAGAGGGGCGATTGGGAAGTAGATAGGGATGGTGTCACCGGGGGGATTAACAAGTTTCGAGAGGCGGACACACAGGCGCATTGGCAGAAGTATTGGATTTTACCGTCCTGGTAAGGGTTGCATCTAGGGCAGAATAGATATATCTCTATATTTATACATGTACAGCGCATTTAAGCTTTGGCATCTATTATCCTGCACAGTATGGACATAAATAGGGTTCAAAACAGCAGGGCGAGAAAAAACTAGGACATCTATAGTATATCTTTCCAATGCACAATGTGTATAGCAATTAGTAGTTAAGGTAGGTTTTAGCTTCCTCGTATATTGAATGATGAACAAGTACTACTTCCCAACACCACAAAGAGATGCCTTGCCATCGTTGGGGGTCTTAGGACTAACTATAAAACATAAGGCTCATTGCCTGAAGTACAGCTCCCTTCAAGATCCATTAGCACGACCAGCTGCACATAGCCAACCTCCTTAGCCTTGCTTACAATATATTGGCGAGATACATAGTTGCTTTATTGGCCCGAAACGGCAGTGTAGCCAGGCTTTTGACCTACTTCTTTAATATAAGATAAAACCACTAGAAGAGCTTCGAGGACGAGAGCATAACCACAGAGCCACGATATTATCAATTAATCAATCAAACAATCAAACAATCAATGTTCTATTAGCCTGATAAAGCCTATCTATTATGCAACAGGCTATGCAGGCGCTTCGCCGAATGAAGCAGAACCTCGCGAGCATCCAGACAAACAAACAATCAATCAATCAAAATTCTATTAACCTGATAAAGCCTACCTATTATACAACAGGCTATGCAGGCGCTTCGCCGATTGAAGCAGAATCTCGCATCTAAACGCCTAAGTCAAAAATCCCATAAATACAGTAGACAATCAAAAGCAATATATAACCAAATGCAGCCGCCACACGCCTGCCATATCTACTATTTCACCGACCTCCTGAGCCCTCGCAGCACTGTATACTCCTTCCGCTCTGTTCTATATAGGTGTTCCCGCCCCATTTGATATAGGGCTATCTGCGTGTCACTGGCAGAGATAGGACCACACCTAGACTGCGGCACGGTTTTGGTTGCGGTTAGTAAGGTGAAAACCGCAACCAAACCCACAAATTTGCGGTTAACCAATGGTTAACTGTAAATGCATAACTTTCGAAGATCCTCCCTATTTCAGTAGTCTCGTGATCTTTATGCAGCTAATGAATAATGCATTTTTACACTATGTTTTGGTTCGTACGGGTAGATTAAATTGGTATTAGTATTAGATTAATCGAGAAGGGTAAGTGGGTAGTAGTAAATGTGTTATTATAGATGCTTTTAAGACTTGGTGGCTTTGCTGCAGAAATATATATTGCATACCTCGTAAGGAGGAGTGATATATTCTGAAACTGACATTTGAACCTCAATTTCTTCTAATTTACCTTTGATAATGATTTATCCTAATCCCAAAGTGAATCCCTAGTAAGTTTCCTTTTACTCTCTACCGGACCCCTACTGCTTAGGCCTTTCTTCATAATGGCTTAACCGCATCCCGCCCTATCTACAGGATCATTCCTCCGTGGGTAGCGACACGGAGACCTCTGGCCCGCCCAACAGCGAGGGGCGGGCTGCGGGATCTGGGGGAGAGAGAGAGATCGACTCGGTCAACCAGCCGGCCGACAGGGCGAAATCGCTCTACAGTAAGATTTCAAGAAGGATCTACACCGCCACACAGCTCACAGGAGCCTGTCTCTGTGCAGCAAGAAGAGGCCCTGATAGACCTAAACCCGGAAATAGACGTAGATCCTATCTCGTCCGAGTCAGAACCGTCAATTTCCCAGCAAATCGACATGATCAGCGAACCAGAGACGCCCGCACCGGTGACCCCTGCCCCCAGGGGTCGCACTCTGGGCAAAAGGCGCCCCCGCAGCGTTATCTCCTCGGAAGCATCAAGACGGCGCACTAGACAACAGGTAGCGCAGGAAGCCGTCTGCATTACCAGTTCGCCTACTATAGGGGATACCCCTCCAGCGAAAAGGACCCGAAGCAAGTAGCCAACCTACCGAGAACGATCAGTATCAACTAGCGATATTACTAATGATAATGCAGTAACTGCTCTCCCGGAATTGCCGGAGGCACCTTATATCCCTGCACTTACCCCCTCAGGACATTCGACCACGATCGTCCTGGCCGAGGGTAACACGCCTGGCCGCTCAGTATCAAGGAAACCGTCGCCATGAATAGGCCCCTACACGTGCTTCAATACAATGTGAATCAATCAAAGGACAGGGTGATGGCCCAGTTCCTCCGGGACCCTGCGGTCCTAAAGGCTGATATCATCTTCGTACAAGAACCATGGGATAATCCCTTTCAGGATTTAACTTACCATCCAGCTAAAGCAACACACCAGCTTCTATACCCGACAAAGACGGATATAGGAGATGAGCGGGCACGCGTATGTCTCTTTATTTCGCGACAGAAGGTGCTTGGATCTCTCTGGCTGGAACCGGGCACTACCACCAGAGACGAAGCCGGAGCCAAGACCACGATCGACCTGGTCCTCGGCTCGCAGGACCTGACTCCTAGGCTCGTTGCCTGTGAGATCACTAAAAAGATTCACGCAGACTCCGATCACCTACCTATACGGACTCTTATCGACATCCAAACCAAGACCCCGGAGGCGCAACGGCGCCGCAACTGGAAAGCGTACAAAGTAAAAGATCTACAGGCTTTTGTAGACCTGAACCTACACAGCAAGGCCTTCCTACTTGAGAATAAGCAGCACATTGAACTCGCAATAGAATTTCTTATTGAAACGGTAAATCAAGGAATAGCAATATCTACCCTGTGGGCACGACCAAGCAAGTGGTATTTCACCCAGAATGCCGAGAGATGATCAAGATCACCCGTAAATTCAGGCGTGCATATACCGAGACCTGCATAGCTATGGGCCCTACCGATCCTACTACGGGGCTGGCTTGGGACCGCTATGCGAAGGTCTTAAACCGCAAAGGAAAAGTGCTGGCGAGGGCCCTGCGGCAGGGACACCGGACCTGGGTCAGAAAGGCCACCGAGGCAGGCCCCGAGGCATGTGGCGCCTGGCCAGATGGGCCAGGAACCGGGATGCCTCCGGGGGACTGGTCCCAATACTGAAAACACCAGATAACGGCCTCGCAGAGACCGCAGAACAGAAAGTTGAGGTATTCCGGAAGGCCTTCTTTCCTTAACTACCTCCCGCAGATCTTTCTGATATCCCTACGACCTCCCTATCTCGGCAACTTGGTTTCCCGGATCTCGCCGAACACGAGGTGCTGCGCTGCATCCGAAAGGCGCCTCCTGACAAGGCCCCCGGGCCTGACGGCATCCCTAATAAGGTCTAGCACTGGTTAAATAAGGTTCTCTCTTTCGCGAAAACACTTACGGGCATCTTTAACGCCTGTATCCGGCTCGGGTATAACCCCGAATATTTTCAGCAATCTACAACGGTTGTCCTCCGCAAGGCCGCGCCACGGGACTATTGAGTTGCTAAATCCTACCGGCCTATTGCCCTCTTGAATACACTTAGTAAGATTCTAGAGGCAGCTATCGCCACCCGCATAGCCTACGCATTAGAGGAACATAGCCTACTGCCACGAGAACATTTAGAGGGACGCAAGGGTATCTCCGTCGACCACCTAATTCAACTACTGATGGATGTTATCTTTAATGGCTGGGGCCGAGGCCAGAAGGTAAGTATACTCTTGCTAGACGTAGCAGGGGCCTTCGATAACGTCTCTCATACCCGGCTGCTGCCCAACCTGAAGATGGCACTACTAGGACATTTCACCGGGTAGCTGGAGTCATTCCTTTCAGACTGACAGACCCGACTCCAACTACCTGGCTACCTGAGCGATATCATTTTTACCCCTACAGGGATCCCCCAGGGGTCCCCTATCTTTCCGATCCTTTTTCTTCTCTTCAACACGCCCCTCATTCGGGCGTTAGGAATTAATACCGTTAAGAGCACGCGCACTTAGCTACTGCCTTCAGGCAGTACCCTAGCATTCGGCTAGATTGACGATACCTGTACAATCGTTTTTTCCGAGTCTTACGCAGCTAATCAGCATCTACTGGAGTGGGCACTCGATAAGGCTGCTATATGGTCCCAGCAGCATTCGTCTAGGTTCGCGCCGGATAAGTTCGAACTGATACACTTTCGGAACCCGCTGGAACCCGATCCCGGGGCTGAAAAGGACACCCCCTGTGACTACACGGAACCATGGAAGGGAGAGAATCTTACTAACGTTAACCGGGAGGACGAGAGCGCCTGGGAGATTCCCGTGGAACCCCAGGGGCATAACCAACTTCCAATAAAGGATCACGCAACGGGCCACGTTATTCGGCCAGTAAAACACGCTAAATACCTTGGAATCTGGCTCGATAAGACTCTCTCCTTTACTACCCACTGCACCAAGGCGGTAGCGAAGGCGAATGGAAGCCTCGAGGCCCTACGGAGCATCTCTACGTCCACATGGGGCACGTTCCTGCTGAACATGCGGACCATATATCTGGCCGTAGTAATCCCGTAGATGCTTTACGGGGTTGCTGCATGGTATAGCCCTACCAGCGGGCGTACTATGTATGCAAAACGGCAGAAAATTATTAACGAATTCGAACGAATCCAGACGCGAACAGCAGTACTTATTAGTAGAGCATTCAGAAATATTGCTTCTGCAGCTCTAGGAGCAAAACTGTTCCTGCCTCCGGTCCGCCTGCACATACAACAGATGATTGAGGAGGCTGTAATCCGGATACAGACCGGACCGATTATGGCCTGTTCCCGGGGGTTAATCAGGAAGAGAAGCCTAGCGGAGATAAAACGGTCAGAGTGATCCCCTATAGAGGCGCTGAGGTAAAGGAAGGGGAGCCCCCTATAGACCGGAAGCCGAAGTTTGGCTACGTAGGAGTCCCGAAAGGCGCACGTGCTCGCCCCGTGGGAGCTCCTACTCAACTGCGTGATCAAGGGAGCGGACAGCGCAGTCCAGGAACACGACAGGATCTGTTAGGAAAGCCGGAGGCAGATCTGGTACTCTGACGGCAGCGGCTTTAACGGCCACGTAGGGGGCGCTACAGTCTCGATTCGGGCCGGGAAGGTCCGCAAGAAATACCTAGGAGTCGCGGCTGACTCCACTGTGTACGTGGGAGAGCTAGAGGGGGTCAAAATGGCCCTGAAATGGGCAGAGGCTGCCCCGATCACAGTCTTTTCAGACAGCCAGGCGGCCATTCAAGCCGTGCAGAATCCTGGCCGACCATCAGGCCAGTACGTACTACGGGCTATCTACGAGAGGATCAGGATCCTGAGAGACGGCGGCCTGCAGCAGGGAGATATAGAGCTGCAGCCAAAACTGACGTACGCCGGAGAATCCAGGCGCAGTGGGCGAAATGGTGGGAGCGACAACGGGTTGGAAAACCCACCAAACGGCTGATTCCGAAGCTGAATAAGAAGGTCCCAAGGATATTTAAGGGCCTGAGCAAGTCTCAGACCTCTATAATCATCCAGATGCGCACTATGAGGATCGGATTGAGACATTTCCTCTTCAAGATAAAGCAGGTCGACTCCGACCGCTGCGGGTGTGAATCAGGCTCTCAAACGCCTAACTACGTCCTTATGGAGTGCTCGCTGCACCTCGCCAGTCGGAAAATAATGATGGAACGCCTCGACTCTATCGAGGGACTGCGTGGGCGTATACAGGACTACGACGCAGTCATAAACCACCCGCAGGCGATACGCTACGTCGCCGATTTCATGCAACGAACAGGCCTCCTACAGCAGTTCCGATTCGCCACGTTTAAAGACGAGGAGGACGAGGAGGTCCCGGGACCCAGCACCCTCCTAGAGGGACTCGAACTAAACGAGGAAGACGATGGTTATATTGAACATTAAGAGCCAGGACGTCTCAACTGGCTACGTGACGCACACAGGAACAGTGGATCCCACTGGAATACACAGATAGAACGGAGTGGAAGGAGAGAACAGCGTCTAGGGGCGCAGTAGGCACGCGGCAGGCGTGTGGCAGCGGGTCTAGTTATGTTACTTTTGTCCTTTTTTGTCTACTGCATTGGGTTTATACGGCGTACGGGCTCGAGATTCTGCTTCATTCGGCGAAGCGCCTGCATAGCCTGTCGTATCAATAGATAGGCTTCACCAGGTTAATGGAATTTTGATTGATTGATTGATTGATGATTGATTGATTCATAATGGCTTATTCCCAAATATCTAGTTTTACCGATCAGTTTTCTGAGGCTGATTTTCTGCAGTCAGACGATTTACCTGCCCCTAGCAATACCCGCCGAACAGCCATTTCGGTGGCCCTGTCTGATCCTCGCCAGTCTTCCCAACCGCTAGCACCATCCTCGTTAAAACATGTTGGCCCTCGGTTCCACCAGATCTGGATACTATACGATACAGATCCTGAGATAGAGCAATCTCGCTTACAGTTTACAGAATGGTGGCTACAGACCGAGTTTGGAGTAAAGGAGGATGCTAGAGCTTCATTCGGCTGGGATAATAAGAAAATATCAAGTGTTTAGGATGAATTTAAACAAGTTGCACATGAGAAAACTGGCGAACTAAAGATTATATGCAAGCACTGCCATACTACACTTACTCATCCTCAGCTACGCCGCAGGGGAACAAGCCCCATGAATACGCATCTTAAAAGTACTACTTGCAAGCCTGGGCTGCAAAGACAAGGGATTGATTAGTTACTACTCTAATCTGTTAGTTTAAATATTATCTTATTCATCTACCACTATTTACTAACTCTTTTCTTATTTAGCCCTAAAACCGATCGCCCTAATCTTTCTCTGAAGATCTTCTTATCCATTATCTTCTCCAGCTTATCACCATGGCCCGACTACTATTCCGTATGCTTGAGCGTCCTGAGTTCTGACAACTTTAAGATACCATTCAACTAGCTCCTTCTAAGATTAAACTACCCTCTGCTCGGTCTATTCGTCGTCGGCTAGACCTGGAGATTCAACAAGGACAAAGAAGTGTGCTCGATAAATTACCACAGGGAAGCAGACTCTCAATTATATTAGACTGCTGGATATCACCCTTTTCATAAGTATTTATTGTAATTACTGGCTATTTCGTTAATAATGACTGGGAGTATCGCGAGGTCCTTCTTAGGTTTGCACCTCCACATGGTCTACATACCGGAAGCAATTTAAGTTCTGTTGTTATCAACATTCTTGAGGAACACCAGATCACCGATCGGATATTATCTATTACGACAGATAATGCAACGAACAATAATACTATGATTAATAGCATCTAATAAGAGATTAAGGTCCAAGGAATTAGTAACACAGGGGTCTTTCGGATTCCATGTCTTGCCCATGTGATTTAGCTGAGTCTTAATCAATTACTGGGTAAAATGAAGGCAGTACCTATTAATAATGAGACTGAGATTGAGTGGTCAGATAATCGCGCATTTTTAACACATTCTAAGCGCATAAACAGAGAGATAGTTGATACTCTAAATAAGGTAAGTCTTTCTTCCTCCCTTTTACTACAAAATCACTAACCTCTTACTTTATATCTAGATTCGGAACCTTACTATCTTTATCAATGCAAGCCCACAACGCCGTGAAGTCTTTTTAGGCCTTCAGACTGAAGAGCCTTATCTACTCCTTATTCAGGATGCCGTACACGATGGAATTCTACCTTTCTAATGCTCCGCCGTGCAAAGCGACTACAGGAGACCTTTAAACACTACTGTATAACCTATGGATACCCCCAATTCCAACTTGATAAAGAGGAGTGGCGCCAGGTCGACTACCTACTTTATATCACCCAACCATTTTTCAAATTCACTACTGCTCTCTCAAAGTCAAAGGATATCACTATTTATCTTATCTTTAGTATCTATAATAAGCTATTCAGTCATCTTAAGGCCTCTGAAGAGCAGCTTCGCCGGAAGATAATTCCCTGAAAGAAAACTATGCTTTAAGTACTCCAAGCAGCAAGGGAAAAGCTCTCAGAGTACTATAAGATGACTGACTATAAGTGCTACGGTGATATTTACGTGATTGCAACGATCCTAGCACCTTTAAAGAAGCGAAGCTTCTTTAAAACCAAGGATTGGCAAGGTCATATTGACTACGCTAGACAATACCGCGGTCGATAAGAAGAGGGAATTCTGGTGTTATAAGAGACGGCTTTCAGATAATAATGGCCCTCTATCACCTGGGGGTTTAGCTGGTTCAATTAATACTGTAGATAAGATTGAGATGCTTTGTGACTCCCAGAATACTCTCTAACCAGACGAGCCCCGAGGGAATAATGATAATGACCTTGATCGCTATCTTACTAAAGGTAAGCCCCTATCTAGTCATAAAGAAACTTCGAGAGATTTAAAGCTAATAAACTAGGACTGATATCTTAACATCCTTGTATATTCTGGAAGGAGTATTAATAAGAGTTTCTAATTCTTGCAGCCCTTGCACGGGATATCTTGTCTATTCCTGCCAGTGGTGCTGGTGTAGAACGTCTATTTAATTGCGCGTGTGATATCTATTATTATCGACGTGGGTAATAGAACCGGAGACAGTTAAAGCGCTGATGCTTTATATGTGTGTAATAAAATTCGAGGTTAAATAAAGGGAGATTGATTTCACTAAAGAGCTTATTTCAGTTGAGGAAGCAGCTCTTCTTGACCAGGAGAGAGGCTTAATACCACCTATGCCTTCTCTAGATCCTATAAGTGATAGTGAGGAGGCCGAAGATGAAGATATAGTGGTTGAGACCCCCTCTCAGTTACCACAGACTCAGGCTCAGAGTGAAAATACTAGACCCAAGAGATCTTGGAGTAGAAGTACTCAACCCCAGGAGAGTGAAGTTATACCTGAACCGGCTGATCTGGAGAATATATAATGACCTAGTCGAGTACGGAAGAAGACTAGGATGCCAGAAGGATTTGAAATTGGAACCCTATAAATAAATCAAAGAAGCACGCTACTATTTTAAATAATTATTTATAAGAAAAAGTAGATTTTGGTAAGATATTCTATACCAACTAGATACTAGAAAAATACTAAAAAGACTGCATAAGAAATCATCTGACCAAAAGGTCACGAGGCTTGGCCAGTTTGCTATGTTTATCTAACCATTGGTTAACCAAAACCGCATTGCAGTCTATTATGCACACAATACCGACCTCACGCGTTCGATTCCCGTGCCGGGCCGGGAAGAATTATTAGGCTAGAGCAAGCGCTCGCGGATTGATCAGATTGATCAGATTAGGACTAGCTAGCGGCCTAGGCAGTCCAAGAAGCCCAAGAACCTCGAAGATATAGCGCTTAGGAACGACGAAGAACAGTTCAGCATGCAGAATCGAGGATTTTCCAAGCTGAGGGGGTGTGTTGAAGTGCAATGAGTATAAAATTGTGCAAATGACCCTAGTCAAGAAGGGTTGACCCTTTTTGGCTCAGTGGACTGCAACAGCAGGCAGCGCTGTAGCGCTGCACTTCTCGCACCTTGTGCAACTTATTGTTAGTTCAATACACCATACATTTCAATGTATTTTGTGCCTTACACCCAACGATGCGCCGAACAACATATGCATGGAAAACGGGCTTTACTTTGCCCAGGATGCAGACTCGAGTGGCTCCTTCTTTTAGAATGCATGTACGGATTGGACCTGGACTAGCGCAGAGTTTCTGAAATATTGCAATTCTTAAATAAGGCTTATTTCTTAAATTCGATTAATGTAAGCATACATACATCTTGGGCCTATGGCTTCTTGTTTGTTTTGTCAACTATAGTAAATCTGTCAGAGTCGGCCCCTTTGAATTTAATGATTTGATATTATATGCTTAAGCATACTTCAATTGCTTAGATCTGAGTACAGCTGATTAATTCTTTAGATATTTATCGGATTCGGGTAATTGCAGGTCCACCAAGACCTTATAATATAACTTAGTACTTATAGTAGGGTAAATTTTCTCAAAAACAAGAATAAAGTGAGAATAATACTTATAGATATCTTTTAAATACCCAATACTAATATATATCTTTGATATCTTAATTAAAGTCTTATCTATGCCACAAACACTACAGTAGACCGTTCATATGATACTATTGTTATTCCCTACTCATGTTGCTCAGCCCCCACACTATGTTATATTCGACGGACTGCGGCGATCCATCATCTTTAGATTAACTCCCTCGCCCGGGGATCCGGCCGGAACAGGGCGGCCAGTGTAATAGGCGGAAATGTCACTATTCAAGTTAAATGTCCATGACCACCAGCATGTCCCCGCTGGTGTTCCTGCAAATGCTGCCGCCTTCTCCGCATCATGCGGCTATCACTATCTTTCTCCTCCTCGGGCTCAGGCACCCCTGTTTCAACAGGTACGTGTTGTTCGCTCCAAGGCTGCCAACTACTCCCCGCCACCGTATCAGTCTCGACTGGTATGGAAAACTCGGCTGCATTTGTTGCAGCCGGCTCCTCTGCCCCAGACCGGTGTTTCAAGAAGGCTTCCGCAACCTTTGACACTGTTTCGGCTTCTTCAGCTTCCTGAATGGCGGACAATGGCAGATCCTGGTTTAGCACACCCAGAGTGACATCTCGCTTGATTCTTAGCCAGTTGACCTGGTCGAAATCGTGGGGTCTGTCGGCGGTAGGGGGAGTCCGCATATACTCATTGTAAGGGTATTGGTAGGGAATGAGGAACATTCTGAGTCGGGATAAGTTGGATAGGTTAGCTCACCGGGTAAGATCGTACAGGGTAGGTGTATTTTGGACGTTCGGACGGGAGAGTGCGGGAGAATTAAGAGCAGGAGGGAGAGAGAGACTGTAGGGGGCTTACGGGTCCTCGGGATGTACTCGAAAGCCATAGTCGGTTAAGGTTTTGGTGGTTGCAGTCACAGCCGTCCCATGTTCCACGGGATAAGTGTATGTTGCTTGGAAAAGTACAAGTCAGCTGCTGATGTACTGGAAGAGAAAGGAGTGTATCACTCACGGAAGCATTCAGTGGCACCTTGGGAGTTGAACTGAGAGAAAGGTCAGTTGTCTATCAGTCGTCCTTTTCTTGATTTCGGAGTGGACATACCCCGTAAGCCTCGATGAAATGAGGGGCCTTATTATGAGGGGCCTCGTTATTGGCCTTGATTCGGTTATCACCCTCCTTGAATGGTGACCATGTCATGGTGATTGGAGGGCCATTGGGCTCGATTTTGCGCTGTTTCCGGAGTCTTTGGCAGGGCCACCATACTGCATTTAACCAAGCATTCCAGTCTTCACTGTGCGCACTGTTCACGTCCCGGCTCACGAAACGAAGAATCTGGTAATTGTTGTTGCCCGCCTCTTGGAGTGACCCGAAAGGAAATTCTTCCCTGATCGGTAGTGTCAACGTAAGCCTGTGCCTGCGAAAAAGGAGCTCGGCCAGGGATACATACACATTGCAGCGAGGCTGATCGCCGCGACCTTTTGGCCACCCTGGTGGTCGGGCTGCGAGGTCGCGGTACGCCGGGTCACGGGTCTTGTACCACCTTTCCGCATACGTCTGTGCGAACCTGCTCTGGGCCTTGTGATAGACCTTGTCACCGTCGAACCCAACTTCAATCGCCCAGCGCATATTATCGCAGGTCTGCATAGCAAATAAAGGTTAGTATACCGGAGCTGTTCCCAATTCCCATTTTCAACTTCCATTGGGAGCCCTTACCTCGTCGAAGCCGAGCCCATATTCACAAGTGTAAGTGACTTGGCAATCCTTAGTGCCTTTCTTATACACGACCTGCTGATAGCGGCCAAATTTTCCCTTCGGATTGCTCGGCTTGTTCTGATTGCGATCCGTGGGCTTTTGCCCGATTCCGGCAGGCCCCTGGCCGAGTCGATTCACAATGTCGTCTTGGAGGCTATGAGGCTTACTGCCCTCCACGTTGCCTTGGGAGCCATGAGACTCGTCGCCGTGATGGATGCGATGGAATACTTTGGTGAAACAGGCGACCATAGCCAGGCCTGTCATTAGACTCTCTCCAAGTACACCAAACGCACCTGCAGAACATACATCCACATATTAAAAAGCGCCAATCTAGGTATTCTTGGTGGGCACTGGATAGAAAGGAGGGGGAGAGCACAGCTGGAGGGCCCTAACACTTACCCAAAAAGGTTGCTACACTGGCTAGCACGGAAGTCTGGCAAACATCCCCTAATTTGCTGGGTTCGCTTCTCATACTGAGTTCCTTCTGGTCTTCATCTACTGGGCGATAGTCGCCTAACAACGATAGGCTGTCGGTGTTGGCGAGTTGAGAGGGCACGAATCCGGAGCAGCAGTACGACTGCGCTCCACCTGGGGTTTTGTTAATATCACGACGTAGGGTCCTAGAATGGGCCACGTACCGGTGCAGGTAAGGTTATTGTTGATGCGCAAATCCGTGTCTTCTTCGTATGAATTGGCTGTGCTCCTAGTTAGAACATCAAGGAGCGTATAAAGGAACAGGAAGAAGATCCCGAACTCACTGTTCATCGCAATCAACTCTGTGCCGCTGGGGCAATACTCGGTCGAGCAGGCCATGCCCACTCCATTCCAGCCATTCCATGAGCAAGTCCCAGTGGTTGTCCCAGGTGCACAACATAATGTGCGAACAGTGCCATCCCTGCATGACTCGTCGCCGTCGATGTTCGGAACCTGCCCTTTAGCATACGCGTGCGAGGTATAGCGCTCAACACACTGGCCTCCGCAGAATGTCCAGTAGCAAGAGTTGGCAATTGTAGCAGCCCGCTCTATTGATCCTTTTTGTTTCCTGAATGTCTCTGTATCGGCAGGGGAAACACCATTTGATGGTCCTATACCAAGCATATCGTTTGAACTGCTATGATCTAAGTCATCAAGGTCAACTGCCCAGATCAACACGCCACCAAGGCATAGTTTGTTTGCTTCTGCTATCTTCATCTGGATGGTCTCCCCGTCATCGTATGAGACCCACTGGTTACTATCCCAGGAAATCCACTTGACAGCGGCTTCAGCATTAAGAGTTGGAGTAAGGTTGTTCTCAGTAATAATACGCCGGATCTCGGAATTAGAAAGTGTCCCTGATGAGTTAGTACACTCCCCAGGTTTACCGCCGTAGCTAAAGATGCAATTGGGCTGGTTGCAGCTTGGATCTTCCAGCGTAAATGAACGACCGTACCACCCAAGCCCAAAATTTACCCGAGAGGGATCCACGTCGTTTCTCCATAAGAGGTCAAGACCTAACTTGATCTCAGTGATATTGGTATGGGGGCGTACGTAGGGACCGGTGTTCTTGTTAGAGGCGTCCCATACGCCGTGAATATCATATGTCATGATGTTGAAGAAGTCGAGGTGCTCTTGCATTCCCTGCAGGTCAAACCATCGTAGATACCAGTAGGATGCTGGTAGAGTGACACTAATGCCGTACCTTCCCTGAAAAGCATTCTTCATGTCTCGAAGCAGCTCGACAAAGTTAGCCGTGTCATCAGGGTTACCACCACGATCATCGGCTCCAGGATACTAGTTTGCCGATCAGCAATGGTTGTTACCTGGTACGTACTCTTAGCAAATATAACACTTACCTCCCAGTCAAGGTCAACGCCATCAAAGCCCCAGGTTTGCATGAAATGGACTAGAGACTTAATAAAGGTTTGGCGATTCGCCGCACTACTTGCCATGTCGCCAAAGGCTGTCTGGGTGTTTGGGGAGTTGGTGGCGTCCTTTAAAAGGAAAATGTCAATCGACGAGGACACTGGCAATAAGGTTCTCCGATCTTACGTTGAAGCTCCAGCCGCCCACAGCAATCCATGTCTTCAGTGACCTGTACTCAAACTCAATGAGCTTCAGCAATAAATGGGAGTCTCTTTGTACTTCACGTACGGCTTCTTGGATTTGAGACCTGTAAGCTGAGGGTAAAGAGTTTCATCATTGGCACTCATTGGAAGTATCTGGAAAGTGGTCGGATGGAAGAATGCAAATGCTTGCTGTGTTTTAGCCATAATAAGGGCAGAATAGAGGTGGCGGAAGGCTTACCAAAATTGAGGTGTGTCAAAGACACAATGTCGATGTCCGACGGTTGGCGCTTGTCGCATTTCCGCGTGGATGACCTGTTGAGTTTCTCCCATCAGCGTGACCTTGTAGAGTCATAAGACTGGCCCTTGGTATACTAGCCCTCATAGTATCCGATCGTTCGCGACATGCTTTGACCGCCGCAGGATGGCTCTTCTACGGAGCCGCAGCCACCGTATCCCTTCTGGCAGCCCTTCCCACAAAAGTCCTGGTGAGAATCACGCACATCAGCGGCTTTTTGTTTAAAAAAGGATGGCGTAAATAGGATTGGAAGAGCACCCACCTCCGTCGTTCCACAGAAACCATACTTGGAGCAGCAAACATTCAGAGGGCACGTTGCAGACTCTGGTAGGGCGTACTGTCCGCATTCGGCCTTTGCATCACAGTCCGAAATGCAAGTGTCCTTGCCACACTCGTCGGGCGAGAACCCACAGATTCCTTTCTAGCAGCCGGTTAGATCGAGACGCTAGTGAAGGTAACTCATCTTACCTTACTGCAGCAAGCACCATTGACACAAGGAGTACCTGGCGCACAAATGCCTACAGGGAGCTCATCCCTCTTCACCAGGGAACGGACATCTTTGGTTAAGCCTTGAAGTACACGGACCAAGGGATTCACCGATTGACCAGACACGTTTTGGAAGACCGGAGTCGAACTCGAGTGAGCAGCATATAAAGCCTTATAGATAGCGCTGTTGTTGTGGGCGCTTGACCCGGAAACAGCAGTTGCTGCCGCCAGAAGCCCAGCGAAGACGGTCGCAGAATGAACATGCATCGTGGCTCCTGTCGTAAAACCAAAAGCGCAACGGTTGCTTCCACGGGCTCTTTTCAAATGCTTACCTTCGGCTATTTATTCATCAGCCTTTTATAGAGTCTCAGAACCTCTCATCCGAGGTATGGTCCGGGCCGGACCTATAAAACGCAATACTCTACTCGGGGCGAAGATACTGGAGATGAGTACCGCAGGCAAGCGATTCCAAATACAGTAGAAGGCTCCGAAATGCAAGGTAACCTTCTCATAAAATCGTGCATCCTAGCGCATCCTCGACAACGGACGTTGTTAGTTCCACGTTGACCCTGCTCGCACTCCACCGGAAGCACTTGAGGCTGTAGCGCATGCCTGGCTCAAGGCGGGCACTTGGCATGCGACTCGACCGGCGGGATGTGCCGACCGGCCCTGGCCAGACTCTTGAAGGTCTTCCCCGACTCTCCGGGCAGATCCGTGGGTATGTGTGGCATGGCACTGCAGATCCGGTGTTCCTCGGCTTTAGGGTTTAGAGTCACCTTATTTCTGCTCACTCGAAAACCTCCTTCACATGAATCTACCGAATGTCTTAATACCCATTGGTTCGACACTACAGCTGACGGCGTCCAAAAGGCTTGCCTTTGTTCTCATCGGTCTGCCATTAGCGGCCTATGCAAAGGGGCGGATGGGGCATTGTAGCAGCCCTAGGCCTCGCCATCCTATGGTCTTAGGTCCTGGTCCTAAATTTCAGGACCAGTCCGGGTTGAATCGGGCATGTTGCGGTCTTTGGCGAGGCCTAAGTAGCTCATCGGCGGTTGCGATATATTTTTCTTAGATGCATTAGCGCCTCGCTTCATTGGACTAAGATAGGATACACACTGGCTTAAAGGTGTAAAGATTTGGATATTCTTTCTCTCTTTAGTTTCTAACATTCTCCACGTTCGTTTCTGCTATAGGGCTACAGGCTTAGGCCTCCAGTTTAAACAACTTGGGACGTCTTTCCCCGACTCTACCCCGTATATTATATAAGATTAAAAATACAACGAGTACTCCTAGAATCGCACACGCTCCTAAAGGATCCTGCAGGAACATCGGCGGTCTTGGCCCACAATGATCAAGCTTGATTTGTCTTAGCTCCATAGCAGCCCCCACATTCTCGTATCTCGCTTAGCCTATAACGATATAGTAGCCGGCTCGGGCCATGGATTCACAGGCATCTCCCGGGAGTCCCGGCGAGTTTAAACCCCTTTTTCCTGGCCCATGCGACTCCGTATTTCACTAGTGGGCGGCTACCTGTTTGGTTTGGTTTGGTTGTATTTTACGGCCGCGGTTCACCGCCTAGGCACATGACCCGCCATCCCCTGCTGGGGCAAAG